TCACTCGAGCTGCGAGTTAATAAAACAGCCAGTGGAGAAATGAATGAAGAAGGGGCTGAGGCTGAATCTGAAGTGTATCTTGGCTTCTTATATGCTGGCGCCATCAGACAAGCCAGCTTTGCAGCAATTTAAACTAATTTTTAACACAGTTTCAATTTAGATTCGAGCACAAACACGCAGATAGTCAGGAGTACATATCTGAAAACAGTGGCATCGTCATCGTCATCATCATCATCATCACCATCATCATCATCATCAGCAGCACTTTCAATTAAAACATTTCGTTCGCGCTCAAAAGGAAATTATTGCTTTTGATTAAGTGAATGGAGTGAGTTCCATTTACATGCAAATCATAGGGGGAGGGGCCGCAAAAAGTTTATATATTTGTCGGTTCCTCTATCTGAGCTATCTCAGCTGAACTGACCAGCCCTAAAAATGCGGGCTAATTAAAGGAGGAGTGAATGAAAGTGACAACGTTTCAATAAATGAATGAACCGGTTTTTCAAAGTAGCATTAAGCTAGAATGATATAGAAGATAAAGTAAATGTGGCTTAGCTATGAACGCAAATATTACCAATATTGATTTTGGTACATGTAAAAGTTATTTGCACTATGAAAGTGGCTGATTTTTTTCACCACAAAGTGACATTAATTTTGAAAGATACATTCTCTTATTTAATGAATTCTCCAAACGAAAATATAAACTTAGTTCACAGGTGCAGAGAAGTACATTATATACATTATATTTTATCTGCTGGGTTAATATATTTCAAGATTATAACACATAGTTTATTTTCATTATTTTGAATAACCTAATCAATACCCCAGCAATTTGTCACCCATGAGTTTGTCTATTTTCAACTGATAGGCGGCTGCTTTTGAAGTGCCAGTAAGGGGTCGTAGGGTTCAATTGTCTTATCAACTTACCATGCGTTTCACCGGACGATTTCACAGATTCCAGAGCAGTGAATTCCGAGCTATCGATTGCCTCACTGGTATCCGCATCCAGCCAGTCGTAGTCATCTGAATCCAGGCTTACGGACTGACTTCGACCATTTTTCTTGGATCCACTAGATGGCGAATGACGTTGATGATCCACGGAGGCATTACTTTTATTATTGCGACGTCGCACCTGTCGTTCCCCAGAATGCAGGTGATCGCTTTTGGTGCTCTGATTCTCCTCCAACTGGCGGACAGCACTGACCAAACCAAAAGGCAGCAGGAGCAGCACAATTTCCCAGCCACTCAGGCGCATTTTTATCGCTGTTTTGTCTGCCTTTTTAAATTTATTCACTTGCTTGTTTGTATTTTTCACTCTGATTATGTCGAGTGCATTTTGTGCACTGCGATAAGTCGTTGCGGCCAAAGGAAATGAGTGTGTCACAAGTCAAAAGTCTCGATGGGTTCATCTACATGGCCAATTGGCATCCGTTCGATAAGCGACTGCTTACGCACTACTACACTATATACAAACTGATTTTTCCTGCACAGAAAAAAATTGGGCTTATAAATACTTTAAGGAATTTGATATAATTTTGTAAAACCAATTTTAAAAAATAATGATTTTATAAATAACACATCCAGGTATTCATATACACAATTCCAAAGACTTTAGTAGGGACTTTTTTAAAAATGTTCTCCAGTTGGTTATAATTTTGTAAACTTTTAAACTATTTATTAAAAAAAATTCCGTTGTGTTGTAATAAGTAGAATATTTAAATATTAAACTCCATTATTTAAAAAACTAAAATTGTTTAATTAACTCACACCTACAGCTCTCAGGGGATTCTAGTAGAATAAATGCCTATTAAAATATTCAAAAAAATTGATTTCTATTTTCTTTAGTGTATATGTTTATGGACATTGGGGCTGCGATGCTCGTTACTAGATAGTGATTGAAAAACGCAGACAAAAAATGAAAAACGATTAAATTTAATGGTCTCCCGCACAAGGGACTCTATTGATAGGGCTCTGAGCTATCTGTTGAAATAAACATGAATAAATGTAAGACTGTTTTCCCGGTGGCGAGTGTGGAAGTATTCGAAAGACGCCTTCGTTTTTGCCACTTGTCCACACGATGTCACACAGTAATTAAGCCAATTGACCTCGCTTGGCCGCCAGTTTGGCAAAGCGTTCCCAAACTCTTCACTCCCCGATCCCCTCTAAGTGCTTCTCCTTTTCCTTGTCCACAAAGGCAAAGTAGCGATGGCGATGGCAATGGCAGCCGGCAACGGCGACAACATTTTATTAAAAGTGAAAAATATAAATAAATAATATCAAAAAGCGCCCAGTGGCAGAGTCAGAGGCCGACAAAGTGACACAAACGGCGGGGAGCGACGCACTAATGATGAGACTCGTTTCGGGTTGGGTTCTTCAAGAGCCTTCTTTTCCACCCTTTTCATTTTTTTCGCCTAGTGTCCTTGCACTTTTGCACTCGAAAAAAGATGAACTCTTTGAATTTTCTTAAATATTTTATTGGGGAAGAGGGGGTACAGTTCTAAAAAAATTATTTCATTGAGAAAAGAACCAATGAGGATTTTTTATTTACCATTAAACTATCATCAAATATTTACTTTATAAGCCCAATTGTCTCATTTATAAATATGAGTTTAAAAAAGATTTCAAACTTGCAATTTTGTTAGCCATTGTATTTAAATATAAGAAATTAAAATATACCTTGGATTTCGAACTTCTTCACAAAAAATAATACACAAAAAAATCCGTTGGCTATTCACTTCAAAAGACCTATTTAAATAAAAAAAACATTTTAAAAGTGGTTTGTACCAGGAAAACAATTTATTTAAATGACACCTTTTGTTATTTGTATTTTTTATATTTTATTATTATATTTTTCTAAGTGTTCGTCTGTGCTTGTGTCAAAGCGCATACCAAAGCAGAGGGCCACAGAGAAAGGGGGAGTGGCACCAAGAGGGGGCGGGAAAGTAAGTGGCGGGCGGTGGGCGGTGGGTGGTTCTGGGCTATCAGCGTTGAGTTGAGCGGTGACTGTGCTTTGATGTCTTTCTAATTGCATATTTTACAGCGCCAGGGAGTCGTCCCCGCACATCCACATCAACAGCGAGTGCAGCTATGTCTGCATATATCCTGCAAAAGGATAGCACTTTCAGCGAGAGTGGAAAGTAGAGCTATTTGCCGTGATGTGGAGGCTGGAAGCCCCTATGTCCCTTCACCCCAATGCTCCCCAACCACTTTACCCTTTTGGCCACCAGCTCAAAGACGCCGTCATCCAAAGTGGACCAGGACCTGGTTGGTTTGTCAACTTCAGCGTCAACGTCAGACGAATACGAGTAGGGACACAAAGGCTGAGACAAAAGCGGCATGTTCAAAAACTAGACAAATATTAACTCATATGCAGCTTGAGGTTGAGCGGAGTAGAAGAAACCTTTGTCTTTGGCCCCACAGTTTTACTCCCTAAAGTCAAATAAGGCATTATATTTGATATTCACATTCTTAAAGACCCAAAAATATGGTTTGACAAAGGACTTTTACAGTGTTTTTTGGAAAATATTTAAATACACCGCTTAAAATTAGAAAAAAGGTCTGGGAAGATTTAAAGGTAGTTGTTATTATTTTGTAATATTTAAGATTTTTATTTTTAAGCTCGTCATAGAGAGTTTCCACTGTACTTGTGCGATTGTGGCTTCAACTCCGTTTTGATTGCAATGGGAGAACAATATGCATCAAACAGAAAATAGCGCCACTTTGCAAAAGGGATGCAAAAAGGAGCCGCAAAAGGACCTGCACAAATACATTCATCCCAAATGCTTCACACACAGATACGCACAAACACACACACACACATTGCACCCAAATGCATCCCATAATCACTTGTCGTTTGATTTGTTTACCGGGTTCACTGCGCTTTGCTTTCGAGACTCACACTTTGGTTTGGGTTATGCTTAATTTAAATAATTTAATTTTTTTTAGCTGATTGTCATCTATTTTTTGTTATCCAAGCAACACTTTCGATTATTATATTTGATTTATTTTGGTTCGCGATCGAAAGACTTGCCGCGCCACATCTTTTACGTGCGCACGATCCGACGGTTGGAAACTGTGTGAGCAAAGTTGAGAACGACATTGTGCTATAAGCGAGCAGGCACAGTGCACTGGGAGTTATTTTTTCTGGAAGAGTAACTTACCATTTAAAAATAAAATTATTTTTTTACGTCATTTTACTTATAGATTCAAAATCTTAATGATAACATTAATTATGTATTTTTTTTATTACTAACACTCATAATTCCATTACAAAATTTGTTATATATTTCTTCAATATTTTATTAGTTAAAATTTTAAAACATCTTTCATCTGAAAATTAAAGGTTTGTAAGCTCAGTTTAAAATGTAAAAATTTGTCAATGGACATAAAATTCAAAATTTTGAACTTTTTAAAAATTTTAAACGCCTGTCTGCGTTGCAAACTTCGGTCTAAAATTGTAATACTCTTTCTAAGAGTATAAGTATACCATGAATGTGTCTTTGCTTATGTTTAGCAGAGTCACTTACCTTTGAAATGCACTCGCGTTGCCAACGCACTTGAACTGCTTGATTGAACTGCTTTGTCCATTGAGCGCCAAATGGACTAATTTTCAAAATGATTTTATTTATTATAACATACAGCTTTTTTTGTTTTAAGTTATTTATTTACCGAATAATTTAAATTCACATACATTTAGGTTTACATTACATTATCATTCATATGAATATAGGTTGTCTTGTAGTTTGTATGTGTATATATTTATATTTTAGGTGGTGTTATCCCTCAATTATCGGGTTTATTTTTCAACAGCGTCCCCTTTAGGCTACAATAAATAAACACTAATTGTAGGAAATATATTTGTATATGCAGTTTTTGTACATTTCGCTTTGCTTCTATGCTGTTTTTTCATGTTTTGTTGAGTGGCCTTCCGAGTGCATATTTTATGTTCTTTGAATATTTGTATACTAATAATGTTTTGCCTAAATCGGAGGTATTTCAGCATTTATCCTGTTGTTCTGTTGTTTCGGTTTATTTTCTTCATGTCAGCAATGTTGTTCTCTGTGTTTCCTCTGGCATGGGACAAATTGTGTAGAAGGATGCGTTTAGAAAAACTTGTATAAGTATAGTGTATAATATATATATTTATATGCTGGCTCTCCTTAGAGTATGTACTTTTTTTGTCTAGTTAACACGTGCAGTGCTATGTATTTTTCAAGTCTTTGTTTAATTTTAAGTTACACACACATTCAGTTTTTGTATTCTGCAATATATTTACTGGGATTAAGTAGCATATTTTACACACATTATAAGAACCGACTCCCCTAGTTAGTTCATGCGACAACACCAAAAGTACACTCATAGATTTATGGGAAAGAAATCATCGACCAACCCTCATTTCTTGTTATTCAGATGCATTCGGAATACTCGTTGTAAGTACATATAAAATAGGTTAAAGTGCTCGAGAAATGCTCTTTGGTGAGTTTCTTGATAGACGTACTCGGCTGGAAGGAATTATATGTATTTAACTTAACAATTAGCATAAGTTCTCTTCACTTCACTTCTCGCTCTTCTTTTTTTTGTGTCCTGTTTGACAAACAGTCGACGAGAAAACGACAAACGCACACAGGATCGAATGGCAAAAGGACAACAGCGAATGGCGATGGCAATTTGTCAACTGTCGGCGGCACAAAAGGGCGACTTCCTGCATGATTGACGACCACTCACCTATAGGAATTATTATTATTATTCCCCGTGCGGTGTATTCATAATTATTTAAGAAATGCACACTTGAATGCCCTCCTTGCGAAAAGGAGGCGGCAGGCTCCTCAAGTGTCTGCTGAAGTCGATGGAAATGTCAACAAGTCTGGCTGACAGTTTTTGGTTTTGGTTTCTGCGATTACCGATTTCCTATTGTACCCTTCCTTCCCGGTTTTCTCTTCAGATTGTGTGTGTTTTGTATTTTCTCAAGAGGTTGCACAAAATGCACAACAAAAAATATAAAGAAACAGAACCGTTAAACCAATTATCCACAAATATAATTTTCATGGACATTCATTTTTTTCGAAGTTTCTGTCGTTGCTTAGGAACTTTTGATTGAGCTTCTTGGAGGGCTAGTTAGCTGCAGCGTACATATATCATATATATATCTGTATATATAGAGATGAGATTTTGATTTCGTAGAACAATATAAGCTTTGGGGGCGGCGAACCGCCCAAAAATGCAATTGGAAAATTCACACAGACACGGTTACGTTATTAGTACACCTATATAGACGCAATGTGAGAGCAATTGAATGTTTTTCTTGTTTTTTTTTTGTAGTGGAAAATCATAGTTGATAATAGGGCATAATGGCCTAGCGGATATAGTGCCACATGGCCGTGGGCTTGCGGGCATTGTTAATCATATCGTGCCAGTGCTGGCATCCAGTTCCACTTTCCTGGGGCCCCAAGCCGCAGCATCCGATTTCCGCGGCCTCGCTCCCAGCACCCACCACATAGATCTGCGAAGATATAATTTAGGTATATATAAAGAAATGAAATATACAGGGTGGTACGGGGGGATTTCAATTAAAACACGGCCGGGCATTAAACCGGGGCTATTGCCCGGAATTAGCAGCCGAGCTGTTAAAAACGGCGGAGGCCACCGGTTTATGGCCCAATCCGGTCAAAAAGGAAAGGCAATGGCTAAGGCTAAAGGTTACCTCGATGGCTGCATTGTGGAGATAATTTGATTGCAAATTAAACGTGAACGCCTCGTTCCAAATGGGGTTGGTGGGATCGTCGGACTTCGTAATGCTCGTCTTTTTCTTCTTGATGCGCTTGCCGTTTTGAATCAGGTAAATCTGAAAAAGTATTTGAAAAGATTATGAGGATTTTCTAAAATATTTTTAAATGATTTTTTATTGTTTTATTTTATAAAATGATGATTAATGATTTTGGACGTCTAGTTATCATAATAACTATTATTGACGGTACCTTCACATATGGTTCCTGAAGAGTTTCCAAATTTCTGGCCTTCATAATGACAACTGTCAATCGCTCAGCCTGCGGTAAATAGTTCAAGGAGCAAAGGAGCTCCGGTCGATCCTCCTTGGGTTTCTTGGTGCGCAGCAAGTCTCCCCAGATCTGAAAGTACTTGGAATCAACACTCCGACTAATCAAATGCCAAAGTAAGTACTCACCTCCACCGACTTGGAGAGATCCAGACCATCCACAGAGATGCGAACCTCTCCGATAATGTCGTTGTGTGAATAGCGATCGTAGTCTAGCACTTGGAGGATCAGCTCCTTGCCTTGGAGCTGATCGCGGGAAACCGGGAACTTGAAGTGCTGGTCAAAATAGGGATTCGATTCACCACGATGGATGTGGGTCTGCCGCTTCCTGCTGTCGACTTCCGGTTGCAACATCAGCCGGACATAGGGATCCCGGAAACCACCCTCCTCGATGGGACTAAGACTGTGAGCTAAGGTAGGAGGATGCGTTGTATTAGTGTAATTTTAACTCTTTTAGGTAGAGGGCTAAAGCAGATTTGCATATTGGAAAATGGCGTTTACTATGTAAGGGCTCTATATCTATAAATAATTTGTATATTCCTTTAGTATCTAATTGAAAGAAAACAAATAAAAACTGATTTCAACTTAGCAAACACACAAACATATATCAAGCATTAATAAGTTCGTATTCAGACATTTTCTCCGGGAATTACAAGTATTAGAATGTGCCGTGTTGAACTGAAGTTACGCTGTGTGGAAAGGAGGACTTTGGAGTTTAATATTTCCAACACTATGCCAATGCAGAGACTAATGGAGGCGTATGCCCAGTATTTCAAACTTGACCTACGGAACATTTACTTTAAGGCACAAGGCATTCGCATTGGAAACAACGACACGGCGCAATTTCTGGGTCTGCGCAATGGCTCTGTCGTAGAAGTCAGGTCAAACTTCTATCAATACATTTCGAACGAATAATTAATTTGATTTTTGATTGTATACTCTGAAAGTTGTGTTCATGTTTTATCTTCGTTGCATTTTAAGCTGTTTTACTAAATAAAATTATAGGTTGTTCAATATTTGTTTAACAATGTTATAGATTGTAAGGAAAAAAGTGGACGTCGTTTATAAGACGTTTAAAAGAACAATTTTAATGCACAATATAAAAGAATTGAACCACAAATTCATAGAGGTATCACACGTCTAAACCGGGATCCAATTACTCAAGGTTTGGAATCTAGAAGTGCAGCTTTGGGTACCAATTTTGGAAACCATTGGAAATACCGAAAAATCGAACATGAAAATGCGTTAAAATTTGGACCCTCCTTAAAAAGAAGTATTTTAATGAAGAGTATTCGAAAATTCAACATCACACGTCTAAATCGGGATCCAATTACTCAAGTTATGGAATCTAGAAGTGCAGTTTTGGGTACCAATTTTGGAAACCATTGGAAATACGGAAAAATCGAACATGAAAAGGGTTAAAATTTGGACCCTCGTTAAAAAGAAGTATTTTAATGTAGAGTATTAAACAATTCAACCACAAATTCATAAATGTATAACACGTCTAAATCGGGAAACAATTATCCAAGTAATGAAAATTAGAAATTCAGTTTTGGGCATTCTAAAGGGCATTGGAATTACTGAAAAATCGAACATGCGTAAAAAAATTACCTTCAATCAGATGCACCGTCAGATCGAACAGGTGATAGTCGTACTTCACACGCAGGTGCAATCGGCCCACGGCGTGACTGGATTCCGGAGCTGTGAGATAAACGGGTCCGTCGGGCAATCGGTAGAGATCGGGTTGAAGGGCTCCCAGCGGGGAGGCGGGACCCATGGCGGGATCCACTCCGGGCTGGGATCGTGGCGGTATCAGCAGCGGCGAAAGGCAACGACCACCGGCCACGCCCTTTCCCGAGCTACCGCCTCCCATTCCCGATCCTCCGGCCAATGATGCCAAGCTGCTTTGCGAGGGACTGGGTGTCCTCAGATCCCCAGGATCCGCCGAGTGTGCAGGACTGCCGCAGCGGGCATCCAATGAAATGGTTCGCATGGGACTGGGAGATCTGGCCAAATGGTGCGGAAATGCCGGCTCACTCGGCAGGGAGCTACGTCCGTCCGGTCCAAAGGTCCTTATCTGTGGCGAGGATCCACGATGACCCTGCGATGTTGAGAGTATAGTAGTAGGTATTATATTTATAACATTTGCTTTAAACTGAATTTTTTTTTGAGTGGTAAGGTGTATGGTTCAATCCCACTTACCGAATGCCTGGATGGGGCGCTGTCCACGCTGCTCTGGCTGGAGATGGACGGCGTGCGCTGGAGGCGCGGCGGGAAGGAGCGGCTCTGGTGGTGCAAGTGCAGCGGACTGTGGAACACCTCGGCGGGTCCGCGCAAGATGTCCGTTCCGGTGGCCGAAACCGTGCCCATGTGGTGATGGTTGAGGCCCATGCCGCCGTGCATTCCATGCATTTGGCTGGCCGGCTGTATGGGCTGGCATTCCTTGGCAATGGCTACCTCCTGTGGGAATTTAAGTTAATCAAATAAAATACATTAATAGTTTTGACTAAAAGTAATCTCCGGATTTAGGAACCTCCGAGTCCGTGGGCAAATCACAGCTATCGCTGACACTACCGGCCGAAACACTGCCAATTCCGCTGGTGGTCGAGGTGACCGACGAGGCCGATGGCGGCGGGGTCATGGGTTGTGGCGGCGGTGTGGTGGAGCCCTCCCCCATCGGCAGGATGTGCACCACCGACGACCCGTTGCCACCAGAGCCACTGGCACCACCGGTGGTGGAGCTACTACCACTCCCACTCGGTGATCCCTCGTCCGCCGAATTCCGATCGAGGGTGACGCGACGCACTGCGCCCACTCGCTCCTTGGCCATCCGTGACCAGGACTCGATGCGCTTGTGGGCCAGCCAACAGGCCGCCGGACCCAGACCACTCATCTCTTCCCAAATTGCGAAACGAATGTGTCTACGGGAACTCCGCTTTTCTTCGCTGCGGAGAACAGAAGGATTTGTTGCTTGACTACCTCGAACATTTGAAAAAGGCACCGCTGCTTCACTTGCTTTCTCTCTCTCTTTCACTTTACACTCAAAGAAATAATGGAAAAGGTATTCAGGCCATTTTTAAAATATATTCATTTCCTTTTTATGGATAACATTAACGATGCGCTTTTTTCAAGGAACATTTGTGGATTGAATAAAGAGTTTTTGGGTTCAAGTCACCAATAAGGTTAAAAAGGCTAATCAACTAACCTGAGGACTGAGATATAATCTCTGGAACCTATTTTTGAACATCCCATTTCAATTTTTCTCTCAAGTCCGTAATCCAATTATGACTAGTGAATAATGAATTATGAATGAGTCCTAAGTATCATATTAAAATTAATAATATAATATCAACTCTTAAAAAAGGGTATCAAGTATTTTTATAGAGTAGAGCCATGATTCGTGGAATTTTTCAAACTCGTGGTAAATTTTTTCGAGTGCACCCACACACATTTGGTCGCTGTTAATCGGCTTAGGCAAATGCAGTCGCACGCCATTAGATTCCACCAACCACAAAGGAGGAAATGGAACTGGATGAGATGCCCGGCACGAGTGCGGTTTCAGGTTGGAAGCCCTGAACCGGCATTAATTAGGGCCAAGTAGGTCATGGTGCAACATTTTTGAATACACCCGCTGCTGAAGCTAATTGCAACTTGGAGTCCTTTAGCTAAAACTTTGTGAATGTTACCAGTAAAAGATGCTTAAAGATTACAAAAACTTCAAGAAGCTTATTTTTTCATGCTCCCAAAAAAATAAATCATTGTTGCATTCCAGGAAGTCGTTGTAACCTTCCTATTTTTGACTTTCGACTCCCGCTCAATATAATTTTTGTGAAAGGTTGTCTGAACTTCAGCAATCTCTGCTCAGCCATCGCTTTTATTGGGATTCTGAATGGCAGGTGGGAAATGGGTATTCTTAAAGCCAAAGCCATGGAAACTGCGCTAACGAACGAAGTGCGTCAGAATGGTGGCAGTTCCGCTAATAAGTCAGCTAACTAGTTTTGTCGTCATCACAATGTGTGCGAAGGGTGCCTAATTATCCGAGTATAAAAATGACGTACAAAAACCGAAAGGAACAGCTTAGAAAAAGCTTTAAAAGTGATCATTTAAAATGAATTATAAGTTGGTCTCTAAGAAACAATCCACTACTTGATTACATCTATTATGAAGATTATAAAATACGTTTGTATTCCTATCTTATATATTCCATTTTTATTTATTCAACATAAAGAAAAACATGGAAAAAAATGTCTTTTTTTTTAATATTCTGTTAAAGATAAGAATGAAAAGTTAAAAAATCAATCTATAAACGTTGTTGCCGGAATTATTCAAAGAATAATTAGATCAGTATTAATGTATTCCTAAATGATTATATTATAAATGTCGGTGTAAGATCATATGTAATGGTCAATTTAGATATTATAAACCATATTTTGAGTTCAAAATTAAGATTTATATCCGTAATTTTTCATTTTTGTATCAGTGTATCCATTCCATGATAGTGACAGCTGCTGATGCTAATGAAAGTAGTGTTTTAACTGCTTCCTGCTGGTCCTGCAAACTTCTGGTTAATATTGGACAGCCTTCAGCGGGCCCAAAAATATACACAGGATGCTTTTTTCTCGGCTTCATGCCACCAGCGATATCATCATGAATATGCAGACGAGGCATTTTCCGGCAAACCTCACAATTCCCCGGCGGGCGATTTATCTTGCAGTCCGCATTTCGATTTCGCCTTGTGCATTCCATTTCAATCCACTCCTAGAATTCTGAAGTTTTTTTTTTTCGTTACGCAGCGTGGCGAATGGCGAAATGCGAATTCATTGGCATTTGTACACGCCCAAGTGCCGTTAAATAGTTGGAGAATCGGGTAGAGATACATCCGTAGCTCGGGTAAGCAAGAGGGGTGGCTCAATACAAAAGTAAACAAAAAACTTATTTTTCAAGTATTAAATAAATTAAATGAAATTAAGCACGTGTAGCGAATGACATCAAAACATGGCAACGACCCTAAAGAGAGAGGGAGAGGTACACGGATATAGAGTGCGACAGAGATGGAGGCGAAACAAGGACCAACCCTCAAATTAGTTTGGGATAATAAAACTGTGCTCGGCCAAAGAAAAATGTTGTCCAAGTCTTTGTCGCTCACCGACAGCCCTTAATGTCCTTAATGTGCATGTGTGCGGTGTGTCCTAGATCTTGTAAAAGGATTTTTATTGATTTCGTAACATTACTCTGAGTTATTCATCACTTTCATTGCTCTGCCTGTCGCCGATTTGGCTGCTGTTTTTTTTTGGGGTAAGAAACACAGCTGTTCTTATAATTTTGAAATTACTTGTCTATATGAAGTAAGAAAAAGTAGTTTAATGGTAAGAGCGAAACATAAAATATGTTTAAGCCTTCGGAGAACCTCCCAACAAAGTTTTAAAAAATAGAGTTTCTTTTAAAAAATACATAGCTTACATAAAAATAATAAATTATGAATCAAAAATTGGGAGTTTTAAGTGTGAAGGTATCTCAACCCAAAAATTACACGTCTACCTGGAAATTAGACATGACATTAATATTTAAGTTCCCCTTAACAAGATGTTACACTCCCTTTAATATTTAACCATTAAATAAATAAGTAGGATGTTTTTGGAATTACTAGTTCAGCTTTATACCTGCCATACGTTGAAGAATTCCCGCCACTAATAAGAGAGGATTACCAAGTATAAAATAAACAACTATTTTCCCCCATAAAAGGACAACATAAACCAGTAATTTGGGTGTCGATTTCAAAGCTCTAAAGTGTGCTCACTAATCCTCCGTTGATCCCCTCGAGTGTCAACCAAGAATGTTGCACATCGCCGAGAATTTAAGGGGGAGGACTGCGAAAACATCAACGATAATTCCATTGAAACGCAGCCAACCGCACCGTTGCTAATTGACACCTATGTAAACTGCAATCAAAGCGACAAACAGCCAAGCCCACACTTTTCAAATTGCTCACCCCATTATAAATAGAAAATGAGCGAAAAATCCTGGCAAAAATACCCCAAAAAAAAGCAAATAAAGGAAAACTAAAAACCCTAACTCAAAGGGAGCCGCACCCAGGACGAGAGGAAAAAAAAGGTGCTGCATGTGGCAACTGCAACACATCATCATCGTATCAAGGGTCCAGGTTCCAACCCCTTAGGATACTCGAGTAGATAAATATGAAATTGAAATTTTCCAGCTTGTTTGATATTGCTGAAGGATTGATTAATGGGATTACCATGGCTATACATTCCTCTATGCTAGAGCATTTCCACTTCGTTGTGTTAGACTGCGCTGAACTTTCAACTTTTCACTTTCGCATTTCCTCTTCGGGCTGCTATTTTCCCTTGAAGCTCTTGTTGGATTTTTCTGCTCTTGACTGTCAGTTATAAGCTTGCACACTAAGTGCTAAAACATTGGCTTCGAACGTGGAGGAAATGTGTGTACAAGTATGTGAGCAAGGGACCCTAAGTATATATAAACACGATAATACTCTCAGCCAGCTCAGCTCAAACAATTCTGACATACTTGAAAGATGTTTCTTTAAACTGAAGACGCACATCGCATCCATGAGATACTTCTAGATTTTTAAGAGTTGACGTGTACACATAGACATAGAGCAACTAAGCAATCAAAGAATATGGCTTTAATATTTAATTATTTCATTCCAAGAAAGTTTTTCAGACAAACAAAATTATAGTTAAATTTAATTATTTTATTTCGGGCAAGTTCTTAAGAAATACCAAGTTTAAATTTAATATTACATTTTAACAATTGATATTACCAGCAATATTGCATTTTAAAAGATTATAACCTATTTTCTGTTTGATTTATTTTCATTTTAAGGGACCTTTTAATACATGGGACTTTGTCCTTCGCTTTAATTAAAGGTTTATATGAATTTAAATTAAATTCCAAGATAGTAATACTGTACTAATTTGACTTTCGTTTTCCCCCTCTATACATGCGAACATGTCAGGAGAAATTAATTTGAATCCTGCTGAACTTTTTCGATTAAAGTGTTTGCATTTTGGTGGGCGAGTGCATCGTAATCCTGCTGCATTCTAATTAGTTCCTCAAAGTCATTACAAACTTGTTGCCGCTGGGGGCAAAGATGGGAGTTTTATAGTGTTCTGGGCATTAGCATGTGGAAACTTTGATGGGAAACTTTCGATTAGCAGGCTGAGATAGTTTAAATCTCTATTTTTAACTTCCATTCCGTCAAAACTCATTCGGCAGTATTACTCATTTGTCAGCAGTTCAAAATTTTGCAGTTAACTTTAGTCGTAATGGCTGGCCGTCTGCTTAGTATCCTGCATTTGGGCGAAAAAATCCTACCCAATTGCAAGTTGCTCCATCAATCTTTATATTTTTCAAGGGGCATGGCCAAGAAGAAGGATGAAAGTCGGGGAACTGAAAAGGGCAAGAAAACCTGTGGGAAGAACCAGTTCTTTGGCGGATGCTTTCAGAGTGGGTGGTAAACTTCCTACTAAACCAGTTTTATTTTTACCATTTGAGCTCTTTTTCAGAATCGGAACCATATAGAAGGGAGAACAAGAAGGAGAAAAGCAAACGCTGTCGGGATCCCTGCAAAGATGGACCTTGCCGTCCCGAGAAATAAATTACTTTCACTTCCCTAAAAACTGCAATTACTACTAAGGTCACTTCCTCCGTTTGGTTTACATTTCCATACGGTCTCCATTGCAATTTCCTCTTTGAAAAGAATATACCAAGTCAGATTCCGTACACAGAAAATAAAAAAGTTTCCTCTAAGAATATTCCTTGCAGTGATTCATTTTTATTTTATGGTATAAAACCTATTAACCAACTTAAATTTATTTTAAAAGCTTAAAGTTATTGTACAAAATTCTGAAAACATTAAAAAAGGTAGGTAGACTGGGTGAAGAAAAAATCCCTGTTGGTTTTCATTCCTCGAATTTATGGAAAAATATGTTTAAAAAATATGGCTTAAAGATAAAAGCGTTTGAAAATTTTCTTTCAAACTTTTTGCCGCACTCGGCGCACACAAATTACACTTTACATATGTGTCCTATCTGGATTTGAAACCAACCTTTCGCAAACAAAAGATACGTGAGGTTTCCCGGTGAAAAACGCTCAGCATCTGTTGACACCTGTATGGAAAGAGGTGTTATTCAGTCCACTCCCCCTGTGGCGCCCCTTTTTGACTGTCAGCGACAGACGACGCCCGTGGATGTGCCCCCCGTATAAGCTGTCATTGTGCTGCATACATTTTAATCCTATTAGCACAATAGTTACTGTTATTCCATATTGCAGTAATTTCTCTAGATTGCTCTCCCTGCCGCAGACATGCCAGCAACAACGACGTTGTCCTGTCACTCCGCCCAGCCGACGTCCTTGAGCTTGACCAACCCACCCAAGCCGCCCACTTTTTAAACCAAGGTTAAGCCATACCCACACCTCTGGGGAAAAGTGGGAAATACAAAAAGGAGTGGGGGGTTTCGGGAAATGGAAATGGAAATTGTCATCGCTGCCTTAGTTGTTGTTTCAGTTTCTGTTTAAGCCACAACGCTGTTGCTTTTTTTTATTGTATGCACAAATATCCTGCGGTGCTTTGGCCAGGACACTTAGGTGTGGTCCTGCAGTCTTCGAATTGCTGAGCGCTGAAAGCTATTCTGCGTGGCTCGAACAGGTGCAAAAGGCTTCGGCTGCTTAAATGTGGGCCAAAACGGGGCCAAAGTGGCAACGGTTGGTCAACTGCTGAACGGCTGAAAGGCGGTGACGTGATGCCACAGGCTTTGGCTACCAATGGAAAAGGTTTTCGCATTCCTGAGTGGAGATTTACTGAGGCTCATTTGAATTCCAAAGTGAAGGAAGAAGGTGCAGGTTAAGTGCTTCCATAAAGTTGAAATAAACCAAGGGGGGAATATGAGTTTTGTTTGCAACAGCAGTTTTTAAACAGGCACGGAGAAAGATTTTCTTTATCAAAGCTCTCTTCAGCTTAAAACTTTTGAAATAAAATGAAAGAACAGCGATTAAGCCAATGTATAATACATAATTACTTCATCAGGATGTTTACATTTAGCAAGATGATCATTAATTTAAATAAGAATTTTTATCAACATTTATTTGCCATAAAATATTTTCTTACTTAAGCTTAGTCTTCTGCACAATTGATTTTTTAAAGTTATTAAGCATTTTTTGTTTGCTAAGCTCAAGAGCCAAAGGAAAATTAAATCATTAAATCTTAAATACAATTGATTAACAAATATTAAATATAATTAAAATAGAATGTATATTATTTTGAGCCAAAGCATCATCATCATACCATAAACTATGAATTCTTTTTAAATTTAGGAGTAGTTAAACTCAGGAACTAATTTATATTCACTTTGGCCAGCAAACTCTTTTGCTTTAATATGCAGCCCCCAAAAAGCTATCACTCCATTAAAATGCTAATTTATGTAGTTTTTAGTTTGCGAACTATTACAGGTCTTTAGAGCTAACTTTATAAACTGACATGTGTCCGTTAGTGGAAACTACTGGCAAACTCATTAGAACCTCAGACCCAGCACAAGGCCAGGCTAATCTTTTTGGCCAAAAAAGGACAATTAACAAACAAATTAGGTCTGTACATCGACTTCATTGTAGTTTCGACAAAAGCCAAACAAATGGCCGGGATAACTTTTGACACACGTCGTCTAAGCCGTAATCTGAGCCGGGCTAAAAAGGAGGCAGTCGGGAAACGGGGATCGGGAATCGGGAGACCGGAATCCGGAACAAGGATTCAGGAGCGGCAGACAAATGAACGGCAAACACACGCACACAATAAGATTTCCGCTGCATAAGTCTTTTGTAATCTCATTTAAATAATTGCGGCCAACAACAGTGGAAATGTGATGCGAGATGGCACAGAAAGCAAATCCGCAAATCTCTGCTTCTAGCCGGACGGACAGCCATTTGAACGTGGCCGGAAATTAAAATGTAAAACAGCAGCTCATTATACGCTCACCTACACACGAAAGAGATGGCTACGGATGATGGAAAAGAGACGGCAACAGAAGGTCTCACTTACACTGTCAAAACGGTAATTCATCTTGCACTTTTTGTGGCTTAAAGGAAATTGGGTTGCTCGGTTTTACTCCTTCCGTGCGTGCACTTTATGATCCTGCCACACAATTTGTGCTGCCTGTTATTGCCCGACATTTATGGCGTTTATTTTGTGGAAGGGAAGTAACATGCCAACTTTGTACCCCGGCCTTGGGATGCACTTTATTGGAACCAACCCCCCTGCCAACGCCATTGCCATCACAATCCCCATCCCCATGCCACTTGGCATAAAACTAGTCTTTATTGCAACAGCTAAAAAGCGGGCGGCACGATATTAATGCGGGCTTTTATTTGGATCCGCTCCAGTGAGGCAGTTTTACACAATTTTAAAATGTGTTAAGGAAGCAGAATGGCTTAAATTGGTGTAGTTTACGGATAATGGTCAATTATAAGTAAATGGGAAAAAGTTTCTTATATAGTATACATAAATTACAATTATAGCGTAAAATTGTAGTGTTGCAAATTTATAAACTACACTAATGAAATATATTTTATTTTAAATTCAATAGTGTAATACTTTCATTCCTAAAATGTAATAACAATTAGGTTTTCTCTAAAAAAAAACTCTGGTGAGAGTAGTGAAAATTGGTCATTACTTTTAAGCTAAAGTACTTATAAGATAGTCATTTCAATCTTTAAGCTGTAATGATTTTTTAAAATTTTGTTTACCTTAATGCTTAAGAAATATATTTATTACTTCCCATATAATTTAAAAATTATTCATTTAATTTATTTATATGGCTAACTCCTTTTGTCTGTCTATTGATGTTTTTAAATTTTTAGGGATAGGAATATTTTTGTTTTTAAATTTCAAAAGCCACCCACAGCTCTCGCTTCACAGCCGAATTAAAACTTTATCTCGGTTCACATATTTCGCTATTAAAAGGCCAAAGTTATGCATCGCCAGCCAGCTCATAAACCGATATAGTGGTCCATAAAAGCTAAACGGAGAATAAAATAGTTTAGCAATTGCCGGCGGGTTGCAACAAGTGCTGCAAGCATTAAAGAACAATCTGGGAAGGATTTTCAACAGTTTGGCGCACATATTGTTGAGGAAAATCGGTGGGAAATGGCGCAGTTATTGTGTGGCGAGAAAACCCCCGATGCCGAACCAACCAACACTTGTCCCGGTTCTGGGGAAACTCCGGCCGATGATAATCCGCTCATCAAACGTCAATACAGCTCGCATCGCTCCTCGAGGAAGGGATGCCGTTGCCGGATGCCTGTCTGTCAACTTGTTTACAAAGGCGAGATGCGACGAGCGACGAGTCCTTGCGGGTATGGGGATAGGATACCAGGACCTCATCGTCTGAAGCCACCCGGAGGCAAGAAATTAATCACCAATACAATGGAAATCGTGCGGCTGCAGTGCATCGATTGCATTTAGCGGTGGCTTTAGCTTTTCCCGGCCTCTTCTACCAGCCATTCAATCTACTTGGGTCTCTGGTAAATAGCCCTGCGGCCACACGCAGTGGCTTACGAATGGGTTTGCCGGAATGTGTTTAATGCTATTTGCCCTATTCTCGGGTAAAGTTCTTATTGTTATGGTATTATCTTATTGGAGGTAGTGGCATTTGGGGGATATTTTCCACAAACGCGATTTAACTATGGTTAATTCAATAAGATGTGAATTATAGGTTTTTGGAGGGGAGTAACTTGTAGGGGTTCCTTTTTAAACATTTTCAAAAACAGGTTTTTCTAAAAAAAAAATACCTTAATCAAGTAAAATTGGGAATCTTTATTGTCTTTTACTGTTTAAATCCGAAATTACTTAAACAGTTAATAAACTTTTGAATAATACAGGCATAATACTGGCATTAAATATATTAAGATTGATTTTTTAGAACAGTTTTTGAACAAATCCACATGTACACAGAAATAACTTCATAAAAATTGTAGGCTTTTTAGCAATTTAAAAATGTATCTTCTACTAAAGAATATTTTCTTAAAACAAGTACATTTTCTAAATGACAAAAATCATCCCGAATATTTTTTTCAGAGGTCTTGTATATTTAAATACACAAACATTTTCATTTATCAGACTTCTATTATATTTCCTAGGTTTTAAGCCAATTAAGATACCTAAAAATAGCTGTCCCCCACTCCTACAAAAGTGTTGCAAATTTTCTCAGTCCAGTTAGTTGTCAAAATCTGTTAGCAAACTCCCTCTATTGACAACACCCATGTGCTACCTTAACTATACCGACAATGGCAGCCTTCTCTGCGGTTTCAATCAAAACAAAATCAGACTCAATATTGCCATAAACAAATACAATGCAAGACGGCAAATGGGGAAATGCATGAAAATCAGGCAAATGTTTTTGCAAATCGCTGCAAATCGAAAGAAAAGGATCAAAGCGAATCGGCCGCCTTTCGACAATTTGGCCATTTAACCCTTCGCAAATCAAAGGACTGTTGTTTGGGGGCCTGGCAGCAGAAATTGCACTGCGATGCATTGACATGATCCGATTTGCCAGCCATTCACTGGGATGGATGCTGATGGCGAGGGAAAATGCAGCTACTTATTTGCCATCAATCTTGTTAGGAGCTACCATGAGATTTTCTTTCCCAAAGAGCATTCGTCGGTGGCACAAACACAAATCAAGGACACATTCAGCGTCTAGAATCCAACATCTTTTATGTAAGTAGCTCGTAAGGACTCATTTCATTTCTTGCAAATTCCCCCGTGGCACAAACTTTTCCAAGTCCCTTTAAATGATGTGACGTCAATGGCCTCTGTGTCTCCGTTCAGCTGTTTATCTGTTGACTTTGCCCCAAAAGAGTTTCAATTAGGCGCAACATTTTCTGTTCCAAAAGTTTTAAATATAAACAAAGCCCATCTAAATTTCGGATGTGATTTTTCCCTTCCGGCGGCGATCTCCCATCGCAGGCGATAATTTCATTTGGCTGAGCCAACTTAGATTTTGTTGGACAGTTTATTTTTGACAAGGGAATCACGATGGGCGAAAATAAGTTGGTTGATTCTAAAGGGAAAATTAATTTTTTTAATATGATATTAAATTAAATGATCAAAAATAATAATAGTGTCATTTAAGTGGATGTGTTTGTAAGTTGATTCTCAGTTTAGACCCATTCCTTTTATTTATTTATGGTACACTGTTGCCAAAAGCTTAAAACTTAAGGTACAGGGAGGAATCAACCATAGTTGCTAAGACTTTCGGCAGGACCAACCGTTCCTTTTATATAAAATTTTATAAGAAGTTTTTTTGCATTGTAAAAAGTTTTAAATAAGTTTGGTTGGAAAAACTGCAAACAAAATAATAGCTCGGGTTAAAAAGTACCTAAAGTCAACAAATTTTTTGTGTAGCCCCCTCACAATTAAAATTCTGCATCCGTCACTGCTTTAAATAATCGAATAGCCACAATACCAACTGTTAGAGGATAATCATGTGGCCAATGTTTGTTTTTAATTTGAATAGTTGCACAACCAGCGAAACAGCGAAAAACAGTTAATTAAATGTTTAGAAAATGCCAGCGGAATACAGAGTTTTGCAATTAGTTTTTCATATTTCGGTGCAACTGATGGACATTTCAATTGTCAGTTTGTGATGGACAAATTAATTATTGGGTGAAATTTGATTGCCATTTGCCAGGGCAACAGGGCCCCAACTTTTTGGTCCCCCCAACATCCTGCATACCCCACCCCCTCTACATTTATTTTCCCTGTGCAAAAAGGTTCTGACAAATCGATGATTTGGGTTGTGTGCGTGAACGTGTACGTGTGAGCCCAGAATCGTTATCAGGGCATCATTTTTGGCTTTCATCTCTCTGTCGCTGGGTTTTCCCCACCCCCACGGTTTTCCCCCCTCCCCCCAGCTTTTCCACCCTCCCTGTCAACTGGCTATAAAAAATATTTTGAAAACTTTCTGCTTGCATAAGCCTGAGTGCTCACTGTGCGCGGTTATATGGATTTCGCCCGTTGGCCATGGCTCAAACCTGGAATCAGGTTTCAATATCTCGAATGGCCCCGCAAATTGCCTGCGAAAATCTATTGCAAAATTGTACGTGATTTCTCCTTCTCAGAACAGAACAGATCACAAAGACCAAGGCCGTTTTATGGGGAAATCCGTTTTGTGGAAATATGAAATAGGAAATGCCTTCCACGTTTATTGCATTCGAACTTTTGTGTTATTCTTTAATTTGATTTCACTTCCTCTTTGTTAATAAAAACGACGGTGGTTTTCTACTTATTGCTGTCAGGAAAATGGAAATATTTCTGTTAAGCTTTTGTGGAACAGTTTGTGTGATGGAAAAGTTGAAAACTCTTCGAGTTTCGGATTTCCTCGAAAGCAGACGAATGCCTCTTTTGAGGGACATATATACATTTCCTTCTTTGTGTTGGCAACCCATATTGATTTTGGTCAACTGAAATCCCTGCTCTACGTGATTCCATTTCGAATTCAGCTTTCACTCCGCGCCCTCATGCATCTTAATTGCATTTGCATATTGCACCGACCATAAGTGCATTAAGCCTGGCCAGAACTCCCAGCTGATGCTGCCACATATCCGCATCCCCATCCGCATCCGCACCCACATCCGCCGCCTCGTCATGGCCATTGTTTATTGTTTATTTATTGCGCTTTTAATTAACTGCAGACTGTATCTGTGTCAGTTTTTTCGCCCCATCCGCCCACTTCACCTTTTCCCTTGCCAGTTTGTGTGTACTTGCCCTTTTTTTATGGATGACTTGAGGCCTGGTAAACAACACATGCAAATTGGAACAGTGGTTTAAGAAAGTCTGCGCATGAAAGTTAATTACTTCATAGGTAAGGAAACTTCAAAAAAGTAAGGTGTAACAAGGTGTAAAAATAGGATGAACATCATTAAATGTTTGTACAAAATTATTTAGACATTGAAAATCTATTAATGTATCAATAAAAATAAAAAAATTGAATTCAAGATCACTTTGTAAAACGCAAGCCACATATTGATTAAATCTTAAAACCAATATTAAAGTTCATACAAAAATTTTATATGACAAAAAGTAATAAATAATAAAATAGAAGAATACCGATAAAAAGTAACCTTATTTAAATAAAAAAACGAAAACTGACAGCTTTAAAAAGCAAATCGCATTACGACCTTTTCAATATTCATTGAATGCCCTGCGAACTTTTTTTTTGCATCTCTGTAAGCCTTGAATAAGCGGCTTATGACTCAAACAGCTAGGTTTCACTTTTAAAGTTTTTTTCAGGAAGTCTTATTTGCACCCAGTGAATGTCCGTATTTGTATCTTCATTTATATCATTTTTCATACTTTACAGAATTTGATTTTTCATAGCTGACGGCAATCAAATGAAAACCAACCAACCAAATGTCCAACGGAAATCAAGTAAACTAATTTAAGTGCGCATACAAACGCAGATAACACACATACAAGAACATATGCATACGTGTACACATGTACGTGCAATCATTTGAATAAATCATATTTCAAGCCCTCTTCTCCACCTAACTTTTGCTAATGCACTTCGAAAATGCAACATTCTATTGGATAAGTTTTATAAATTAATAATCTAATCGATTTTAATTTTTATTTATCGATTTCGTAAGTTCCCATATATCTATCCACTTTCAATTTTCAAAAATATTTAAATCTATAAGGCTAAGTTCCATTTTTGATTGAAAATTGAGTTTCATAATGTTAGCATATGTTTAGTTTAGCAGGTAATGGTTGGTTATTTTACAACTTTTAAGATCATTTATGTGAATTCGGAACTGAATTTTATTAATGATCACGAATTTGTATTATCTATTGGTATAGATATAGATATTTTCTCAGTGTAGTTATGACCAGTTCCAGCTTGTTGAGCTTTTGGACGGAAATGCATTGGCTAACCATGGGGGAAATGGGGACGAATGGGCTGGGGCTGGGATGAATATCCTGGAGGGTGGTGGGGGCTAATGCAATCAACTCATACATATGCAATTTGTATGCACGAGAACGAACTCCCTTCTATGAAGGCGCGAGGGTGTCTATGTGTATGTATGTGTGTTTTGCGGGTAAATTTTGTATCTGAGTAATTGCCAAGGCTGAAAGATATTTGGCTTAGATGCAGCCAGAAAGCAACTCGCATGCCAAATTAAGATTTACGACTTGGTTGCGAGCAGTCAACTGGAAAGACAGTAAGCCAAAGAAAAGTCAGAAAAATAAGAAAAACAAGGAAAAACCAAATGCAGCTGAAGATCCCACTTGAATATCCCCATTCCCCTGGTTTTTGTTTGGCCATATCCTCTTATGTTTTCTTGGCCCGTGACTCGTTGCAGACTCCATTTTCGTCCTTCTAATTGTGACAAATTGTGTGGCACATGCAACATGTTTTACGTGGGTGTGTGTGTGTGTCAGCCAACGCGTGTCATAGGGCGTCTCTGTCGCACTCTCTCCTATCTCTTTCCCTCAGGCTGCCATTTATTGTTATCCACAAAATGCTGACATATTTTTCTATTATACGCTGCCTCATTGATATAATTTATGGACTCCCTTCTTGGCATCTGTAGATGTGCGTCCTTATATAGGGACTCCCAGAAGCCTTTCGTGTGCGTTTTTAATGGGTGATGAAGGGGGATAAGGATGCTGCTGAAGCACGTGAGCAACAGCAGGGGCAACAATAACATTTAATAGGCGCACGGGGGCAGAGATGACTGCCTAAACATGCCCTGATTTGACTCCTCTTTGACACACGAAAAAATTCTATATCAAATAATTGAAAAACGAAAAAATAAAAAAGAGTATTTAAAAAGTGGTTCCCATTATAAATTTTAATCAAAAGATCAGATGAAAGGAAAACGTTATTGTGCCTAACAGTTAAAGAAAACCAACGAAAGCCGCTTCGAAATATCGTCTTATATAGTGTGCACTCTGGAAATACGGAGATTCGCTTCATTTTTAAGAAAAATAATAAAGAAAATAAAGTTTAAAAGACATTTTCAATGCTTCATCCAAGAAAATATTAGGTCTTATACAAAAAAACGTCGATTTCGACCATCTCACTGTATTTCTTGACATTTTGATGGGACATCAAAATTTTATGAATAATATAAGCCCCCGTTTATTGCTCAAATTAAGTGAAAATGTAAGGGCGTACACCTTTTAAACGGTGAAGTATTTGTTCCTTTGAAAATTTCATTTTATTTTTAATAAAAAAAACTTGTTATAATATCAACATTCTTTATAGTGAAGGGGCCTGCCATCATCTCTGGTTAATAGGGAAGTTCCCCCACCACAAAACCAGGGAGATGCTCCATTAACGCTCCCTAGTAGAATAGGAATCAACCACCCTACGAATTTGTGCACTCGCCTGATTCGTTATCTATAAATAATTATATTAACTTTGCTTTTTGCTCTTGACTAGGCCTAAACACAAGAGGATGGGGGAGGGGGTAGGTCTCGAGAAGGACTCATCAGTCAGCGAGCTGCAGTTTGGGAAGGGGACTGGGATTGGAACAGAGTTTTGGGGACCGCGCCTAGAACTCAGCAAGGAGCACAGGGCGCATACGAAATTTTTGTGGCAATCCCTCGAAGAACAGCGAAACAGAGAAGGAGAAAGAGACTCGCAGAAAAAAAGGACAAGGGGAAAGGGCCAAAAAGCATTTGCTAATATCCAACATGAGCACACTGGCAGAAAAATATAGCCCTTTTCAACACAGAAATGCCATTAAAATATTTTATGGGGGATTTACCCGATCATCTTTTTGTTAAAAAACAGTCTGTACCATTTTTTCAACATTCATTAGGGAAAATATTCCTGTTTTTATCGAGTTTGGGAGTAATGTTTTCCATTTCCAACATTCCAGTGCAATGGCACCAAATGTCTATTTAAATTATGAAAAATATAATCATTTTTGGCATCAACAAGGTTTTCTTATTTAGTAGGAAACGAGTTCTGAAATAGCATTCTCCATTATTAATAAGCATAAGATTTTTTCTTGTGCACAGATATTTTCATTTTTCTTTGGGACAAAATTTTCAAGTTTTTGTTTTTTCTCCTCTTTGACGTGGGGACCTTAATCGAAATTCCAAAGATATTCCAATTGCAATTTGGCCAACGGGCACAAACCCTACCTTGGGATATGCTCAGGATAAGGGTTCTGTGCCCAGGAAAACCGAACTAATTAATGCACAATTAATTTTCCAACGCCGCGGGTTCAATTATCTTTCCAATTAGCCAAAAGCAAACAAGATGCATGGACCTCATGAATATGTAGAGATCTATATCTAGGATAAAGCCCTTCCCAGCTGCTGACACATTTGATTTGCTATGGAAATGAACTGGTAAATAATAGATGGGACGGTATAAGTTTTGGCTGCGTGAAAGTTTTGAGGAGAAAGTGGGAACCAGAGAGCGAAAACAGCGAAGCAACAGTTCCAAAAGTTCCTTTACCTACTTGATATTTCTCTTCTTTTTATTTTCTTTTTTTTTTGTTGGCAACAAGCCGAACTGAAGGGATTAGAGAGCGCTCGGCCTAAACTTGGTTAACATTTTTCAGCACAAAACACTTCGCCATATTGCAGAGTCACACAGACACAAACACCGCCGCAAAATATCAAAAGCAATATGTGGCAGCAACAACGACTGTGGCACGAAACTCAATTGAAAGTTGGCTCTTGGCGTCCATTAATTGCCGTTCAGCGATTTCATTTGCTGCCTTTGGCTTTGTATTGACCCGCTGGGAAAATCCGGATGCCGCGAGATGTTCTTCACTTGGGGGCTGTACGCGTGCTACTGATTTTCCATTTTCACGCAGAGCCAACAAGTTGCAAAAAAAAGGGAACTTCATTCGAAAGCACTTCGTCTTCGGCCTTGCCAACTGCCGACAGAAACGGAAAGAGCGAGTGTTCTAGTGCCCCGAAATTGATGACAAAACACTCGGCAAAATTTGGGAAATTCAATACTTTGTATTTGGGTATGCTAAGCCTAACGATACTCGACAAAATTTTAGATCTTTCATATTTTAAAGTTGAGAAAGTTAACACTTATTAAGGTCTAGGTACATAGGTCAATCCTAAACGTTTTAAAATTTTTTTTAAATATTTGAGTCTTGATTAATTGTAGGTATAATCAAAGTCAAATTTAAAAAAAGTGTTTTAAACATTTTTGGTTTTTATACTTTGGAGAATATATATTTACTAGTCAATTAAAATGTGTAAACTATACAAGCCTACCTTAAACTCAAGAAATATAAACTATTTATAGTATTTGAAAAGAAACTGCATAGAATTAAAACATGAAATTAAAAAAATTTGGCTTAATCTTTTTTTGAGAAGGTGTATAAATATTTCTAAAGACCAAGAATGATTTCCAAAATTTTCAAAATATTTTTTCAAAGTGCTAGCAGCAACAACAAAGCAACAAATGAGAGAGAGAAAGTATCAATCGTGTAAAGCTCATTTGGCATTGAATTATACTTCGAAAGCTTTTTCGCAACTTGTTGCCTTGTGCGTTGCTCAATCAGCTGTTGCTCTCTCCATTTACCCCCTCCTTCCTTTCTTTACTTTCTATTTTTTCATAATTCTGGGGAGTGGCTACCATAACCGATTAAGTAGACTATAGTTTTTGCTAGAGAGCATAGGACCCATAGGATCCTAAGTTCCCATCATTTTCTGGACCATTGAACTTGGAGCAAAGGACACTCCAGGACCCAAGTGATTAGTTCGAAAAAGCTCTAGCGCCAGCTTTATAATGGCATGCGTGTGTATGCGACTTCACCTTGAAAGCTCGGAGAAGTGAATTTAGAGAGCCAGAGATAAGAAATGTATATATCTGCACCTACATCGGTGTGGGTGCGACTATGCGAGTGTGTGTGTGTGTGTGTGCCAGTGATTCAATTTGTTGAATACTTTTCGGCGTTTTTTCCTCTTAATGACCGCCCATAACTGCGGCTCGAGTTACCCATAAGCGACCTTAATTGACGCACACAAGTACATTTTTTGTTTTTCCCTCTGCCATTGCACGGTAACCTCTCCCTGCCCTTCCCCTCTTTCACCCAACCACCTTATTTACCTGTTGTCATCTTTGCCCCTGAAAAAAGGAACACAAAAACACGAAGCTACGGCGAGAGCAAGACCAACAACGGCTGACATTGAGCAAGCTGCAAAGTAAGTTTACCCATGGCAATGGCATCGTGCTGCTTCTTCCCCTAAGGTTTTTCATACCCTTCCCTAGGGTAATACCCATTTTTAAATTTTTTTCAGTTCGAAAAAATCATTGCCTACTTTCTGGCGTAGAGTACTTAAATACACCTGTAGCGAAATAATACTCTTGTGTCCTATTAAATAAAAACCTAATTGGCTTGTGAGGAATAATTTATTTCATTTAAAGTAAGGGTTCTATTAAACCAAAGAACCCAGTTCTTAATCAAGAATTAGACGACGCAACTTCTTGAGATCCTTGAAATAGTAACATTACATTTGGGATATCTATTGAAATATGTTTTGAGTGACATTATTTTTGGAATATAGTAAGTATCGTTGAATTGTTACCGAAAGATTTCTATGTCCAAATTTAATTTCAATATAATTTTGTATTAAGAAGGGTATTCCCTCCATCGGTCTGAAAATCGTTGTCATCCCTCTAGTTTTGCATTGTGTTTGCAACAGACAAACAGACCGCATAGCATAGTGTAAGGACACCCCCAAATGGCGTATCTGTGTGTCTGTCCATAACCTAAATGTGTGCATATATTTATATTTGTAAGTCGGTGTGTCTGTGGATACTTTATGTGGACAGGAAACTTTTCAGGCAGACTACTTCCAGTTAAGCAGGGCGGGACGGACAAAGGGAAAGGACACCGGACTCAGACTTGTACAGACAACTCATCGTAGGCTTCTCCTTAGCGCAGGATATTCACACAGACAGGCAAACAGGGGCGTGGCAAAAGAGGCTTCCTTTGAAGAGTGGTGGGCCGAAAATATAAATGCGATTGCCAAACTTTTAAAGATATTTATAAATCGCTATAACAAAAAAATTAAATGAGATTTGATCGTATTGTATGCGAGACGGCTTATCCGAACCAACTTTACAAACCAATTGCTTGCAATTCCAGAAATCAATTCCAAATATTATTATCGGAAATATACATGCTACAATGTGTATACAAAGGTTATATACCTCGTTTTAAATATCCGTTTGATTTGGAAATTATTAAAAATAAATATTTTAAAAAGGGTCAATAGCATATTCATTTAAATAGCTATCATGTATATGTATACCACAGTTTTAAAATTGACTCGAGTATTAAGATATTAAAGCAAACTCAATATAATATGTAAAATGAAAAGTCATCATATTATTAATACGCAGCAGTTACATATGGCTTTGTATGATGATTATAATGAGTATACAATCACTACTAATCTCAAATGTGAAATAATGCATTAAATTTACAACGCAGTAATGGGAAAAATTATAAAACGATTAAAATAATCATCTTAATTATAACAATTAGTGGATATACAAAATATAGGCAATCGCATTCAGCCGTATATTGGTTTCTTGTTTCTATTCAGATTTTCAAGCATGCGGTTCCATTTAGTCATTTTTGCTCTTCTGGGAGTAGTTATAACTAACTTTAGCGTACGTTTGCGATAATTATATTTTGAATAAATTAAATAATTTGTGTTCTCCTGGTGCTGTTTTTATCCAAGTTAAGTGTAAGTTTCAAAGGCAATTGTAATTTTAATTTAAATCTTAAAAAAGTTTATTAGGTTGCGGTTATTTTCAAGATGACAAACGTTGTGTGTGAGTCGTATAATAAAACCTGGTTCGAATTCCATGACTGTCGCCTCAAGGCCGTAAGTCGAGACCGGATTTTATTTAATATGAACGGAACTATTTGGCATCCAGCTTTCAACATTCAAACCCATATTAAACTTTATAAAAGAGAAAATGGGTATAAACCTTGGCTCATTGACACCAAAATGGAAACTTGCCGTTTCTTCCGAACCAATTATGATCCTATTGGTAGAATAGTCTTTGGTCTCTTTCAAGAATTTAGCAATATTAACCATACGTGTCCTTATGTGGTAAGCTATTTAAATGTTTTTACTTAAGCGACTAAACATATAATTTTGAATATGTTAACAGGGTCCTCAGATACTGAAGGGATTTTATTTGAAGCCTGAACTATTGCATCTACCATTTCCGACTGGCCAATATTTGTTAGCACTAAGGTGGTTCTTTGATAAAAAACTTCAATTCGATACCAACGTCAGTTTTTTGTTCGAAGAGGATTTAAAAAAATCCATTTGAATACATAAAAATATTTTTAAAAACGTCAATGCAAAAATATATTTGTTTTTAATTCCCAAATATGAAAATATATGTAAGCTATATTAAATATAAAATATTAATATATTTTTAAATATGATTGTTAAGTCTTTATGGAAAAATTTGCAAGTCATATATAATTGTGACTTTACTGTTTGTCGGTAAACAACAAGTTGAACTTTAAGGCATCCTGTTGTTATATTTAATAAATAAATGTTATATTTATTAAATGTTTAATACTGTAATTATATTTTAAAATATTATGCTATTAAAGATATACCTACTACAAAATTGTTGTCCCATTAGTAGACAAAAAACAAGCGAATCCCTTTAAACGTTTCATATTCCCTCGCTCAATTTTTCTCTAAGTGCACTGCAAGTTTACCGTTTTTAAATTATTCAGACCCCTTTTACAGCCAGAGTGCTCCTGAAAAAAGTTTTGGCCCAAACCATCGACAGGGGGCTTAGCTTGTTGCTCACTGCACATTGGCCCCTATCTGTTTTTCCTCTGCGTTTCTCACTTTCCCCGCTTTTCCCATTTTTCCTGGGGCTCTCGTTTCCTTTACTCTTCATTTTTCCTGGCCGTCTTTTTTGATTCTGTTTCAGCAACAAGTTGCTTACATTTCGTAAGCCCGCCAGGCCACCTGTGCCAACGACTATAACCCATTTGCGTGGAGGATAGGTGGTGGAAAGGTGGGTGGTTTGGGTGGAAAACTGGGTGGTATAGTGGGGGGCTGGCATTCGGGAAAATTGTCAACGTACTCGTCGCCTTTGCCCTGCAGATATGCTGGCATATTTATTTATGTGCTCTGCCAGTTTGCTGTTCTCGACTTGATTTCATTTCATCTCTGGCTGCTTTCTTTTTTCTCCTTTTTTTGGCTCTTTTAATAACAAAGCCATGGCTGTTGTTTTCTCGTCTTCGTTATTTTTGTCGTATATTTTGACTGAATTTAGGCTTTTTGTTGTATTTCGGCAGATGTTTTTCTCCAAGGGTTTCGCATTCATTCGCCATAAACTCCACCTCATCCCCTCGACATAAAATACTCACTTATCCTGACTTTAATCTTAAAGATTAGGCAGCATAGAGAGGCGTTTTTGGTTTAGCACCTCGTTTTTTTGTATCTTGCTAGGCTTAGACAACCCATTTTTTATTTTTCCCACACAAGTTCATTCACTTTTAGGCCACTTTTTTATTGCGGGTGTTTGAACTTTTGTCCTTTGTTTTGATTTTGTTTGGGGCGAAAGTTTTGTCTAGCTCTCTCTGGCATATAAATCTCAAATACTTTAATGTTTACTCCCTGCCTTTTTCATGGCATATAAATATAGGTATCACTGCGTGAGCCATATGCCATACGATTGTGCGTGTGTTTTAAGCTTTTTATATAATTGAAATCCTGACACGTGCCACTCAATGCGTATGCTGGCAATAAATTCAGTTTTACTTGTAATCTATAAGCACATAAACAGATCCACATATATTAAATGTGTTTCTCTGGATTACTCTCCATATGTAAATTCACTTGGCCATCAGGATCCTTAGGGTACGAGAGACAGGACATTGTCCTCACAGTGTGTAGGCGCCTCCTGGCATATGCTACAATCATAATTAAATCGTCCTGAGCAGATAGTCCTTTGCGTATGTTTATCTTTTTCTTCTGGCTTCGGTGTCTTTGTCACTGAGAGAAATGTGTTTTTATGATAAAGAAATAAGTAAATAAAATAAAAATGTTGTTCACCAAAAAAAACTGTTAGGCTTTTAAAGCATTTGAGCATTTTAAATGAATTACAAGATCATCATATAATATTTATGTCCCAATCTAGAATTAAAAATCTTAATACTTGACAATTCTAAAATCGGAAGTTGTAACTGTAAGCTGTTTTTTTATTATATTTGTTTTATATTTATATTTATTATTATTTATATTTATTTGTAGTTTTTGCGCGATTTTTGCTTTCTAGTGTTGTCGTCAGTTGCATAACGAAGCGACAAAACTCATTTTAAACAGGCGCCACTCGGCGACTGTGGGGCGCCACAGAAATTGCTCCATCGTTCCGCTCCTGACCCCCGGATCGGGGATCCCAGGTCGGATTCCCGACCAAGTCAACGTGCTGATGATGAGCCCACTACGGTTACCAACAAGTTTATTAAGTACAATGCACAGTGTGGCCAAGGACGATGACGTGCTGGCTCCAGATATCCTTCGAGGCCCAGCGATTACGGGGAGGTGAAATGCTGACCCGATAGGAAAACTGTTTTGCCTGATAAAAGCAGCGGGATGCTTAGCAAATTGGAATCTTTTATGGAGGTATAATTATAGAAACCTGACATTCTTGGTTATAATTGAAAAAGTACACACTTAGTTCCAAAACAATTGGGAAACTTAAATTAAATTCGGGAATAAATGGTCGCACCTTGTGTACCATGAAAAGGTAAAATTTCTGCGAACTAGATTGTTTTATTTTCAAGTACTCGCACGTGTTATTGATTATTTGGCAAAGGTTTGCAAGGATGAGAAGAATGGTATTGTATGTTTTGAAGACTGCTACTTGTTTGATTTTTTAATACAATTCATGGAAGCTATAAACATTTATGTATTATTTTAAGCTGTAAGATATTATTTTTTATATTTAAATTGATTTGTTGTGTCCCTTTTCTTACACTTTTAGTAATAAAGTATTTGGGCAATCTCAAATTATAATCTTAATGAATGTTTTCCAGTTACATGACCAAGCCAAAAAAGAAAAAACCGCTTTAAGTGCGAACAACTTTATGACTTCACACATCCTATGACCCAAAAAGCACTCCAAGGAGCAACAATGTTTAGAGGCCGCTTCAATGGGTCAATTAGCTGGTTCCACATATCGCGGCATAGGGGAAAAATCCCCGATTGCGTGACCCAGGAACATCGACATTTTCCACTACGATTCTAAGGGTAATTTTGCCATAAATATGTGCTTAATCTAGGTCAAAGCAAGGATACCGGAAGCAGTTTCGTTGGAACTAATTATTAAAAACAAGAAAATAAAAACTAGATTTTGCGGAAAAGTGAAAACTCATTTCGACTCATATGTCTACCTTTGCTTGACCCCCCAGACTACGTACATACAAACACACACCCACACAAGCAACTACGGTTAATTTATTTATTTTGTGTGCAGGCTTGTATTTGCATAAGCTTAAAGGATTTTGGACTGCGAGCTTAGATTTACCTCAGTCTGTAGTTGTTTTATTGCCCTCCGCATGACCACCCAATGGCCCCCAAAAGTTTACCCTTGAAATTGAGTTAAAAGGAGTCCCCCATCAGCTGGAAAAGCTTGAAAAAGCTTTAGAGGACGATTTGAAACAATGCAAACTTTATGTCCTGAAAGCTTTCCTAATGGTTAGTACTAAAAGTTAGCCAGGGAAAGTCTTCAAAGCTTTTTGGCATTTCCCTGGTTTGGAATTTGGATTTTAGAATTCCCTCATGGCCGAAATTGAAAAATATTTAAATTAAACACTTGAGACCACAACCGTTGCACCACAGGGAATTTAAGGACTTTCTACGCCTTGGCGACAGACTGTCTAGACAAGAATCCCAAGTTGAACACCTGACAAATGCCATCTCCTTTCAGGTAGGCGGGCAATTTTCAACGGAATTTCATTTGTTCTAGCCAGAAGCGTTGGCCTAATGATCTTTTAACAGGCCCATCGAACCTAGGGGAATTTCCCAACCTTGATGCAGGCAGTGCAGCGCATTCATTCATGAGAGCGATTCAAAAACTAAAGATTCCACTTTAAACTGAAGAGGTTCTGCACTTGAGGCTGTATTCATTCATGAAGTGTCTGCCAGGCGGGAGATCGACACAGCGAGGAATTTTAGAATCAGCGGGATATTCGAAAGTTGGCAAGACATCTGGCTAAGGGAACTCGACAAGTAGAACCTTCAGAGAAGAGGTGTATGCAAATTTGTTTACGGAAACAATTTTGGAAAACATACCTATGCTTAGAAAACATTTTAGAAGATTTTAGCCACCGTTTAGTAAGATAGAGAATATATTTAGATAATAACATTGTAATATATCTAAATTCAAGGAGTTTCAGAAATACTATTTAAACAATATCATTTAAATCGATTTTAAAAACTTAATTTTTGGAAGGGTAAGGTATTTAAAAACACTAAAAACACTGATAGTTCATTTTCATTATACACAAAGTGAGAAAATAAAATTTTTATTTTTTATAATTTAAAACATTTTTTAATATTGCAATTCCCTTTGATGTTGACTGATTCTTTTAATATTTCGGTTTTTGGGTAACATTATTACCCCATTAAATTAGTTCCCAAATACTGTACTGACATCCACTTGACTAGTTTTAAATGCTATCTGTGATTTTTTGAAAATCAAATCAAGTCCATCCGATAACGATCGAGAAACCCACGCAACACATTTTGGCACAACAATTTTCGCTACGCTCCTTCAATGAATTTGCGAAAAATAGAAGATCCTGAAAGGAGTCAAGGAGTCTTACCTGCTGATCCAGCACTTGAAACTCAAGAGCCGAGCTCTTCAACTCAAGTGGAACACTTGAGCAAAGACACCGAGAACTCCAGTTGATAACGATCGGGGCCTGCGATCAGGTAGAGTGAGTCCAAAATTTTCGGGAATAGCAAAGAGAATGGAATACAGAAATTCCGTTTAAAACCGCCGACTGGGCTATTTTGCCCATCGGCATTCCGATTTCCATTTTCGGACCGAAGGCCCAGAGGGGCGTAGGTGCAATTGCGTTTATTAGCACCGCACCCCTTGGGATCGGACAAAAGGATGAGTTAGTCCTCGTTTCGGTTCCAAGTTAGAGGACCCATTGAGGAATTGTCCGCCGTTCAATGAATGCTGAATGAGTCGGCTCGGGCAGGTTTTGTTGCGCTTGATTCGTTTTGGGTTTGTCAACTATAGCCAATTCTCAATTTTGGACAAATCGCTGCCATATCTCCAAGATGATAAGGATCACTCGAGTTGGCATCATCAATTTGTGCAATTTGAAGTGTCGTGGGAAATGCTTAAAAACTCTCCCCACTCCCTGCCAAAATGTGTCCTTGATTAATTCGAATTTTCAATGATTCGGCAAAAATAAATCGCTGTCCTCATTTGCGGTTGCATTTAGGTGGCAGACCACACATTTTGACCAGGAACATTTTTTGCAGTCTTGCAGAACGAATTTGTAAACGGATCTTGTAAAAATCTTTAAAAAATATTTTACAATAGGGAACAAAAAAATCGCAATCTCACAAATAAATATATTAATTTATATTAAACTAAAACCAGTTCATATTCCATATACAAAATATTTTCTATAGATTACAGATCCTACCTTTTAAGGTCTAACTACCTTCTTATGAATCGTATCTCTATTTCCTAACAACCATCCTATAACGACTGCCACTCACTAAGCTGCTCTAACAATCATCCTATGACAGATTTGCAAACGAGATTTCGCCAGAAACATTTTCTATCCCATAATTTGTTAGGCCTGTCGACTTATCGGCCCTCCGAGCAACTCAATTTTTGCACATTTTATGCCAAAAAAACAACGAGTGAAGCCGTTGAGATGTGTGAAAAATTAAATCTGACAAATTTCCGGTTCGGTATTTACTGAGTTTCAGTCGAATGTATAATTTCTGGACATTATTTTCTGGTTGACAGGATTAAGAATAAGAATCGAACTAATGAAAATTTTTAAACAATTTTTTCCAGCTCCTGGGCATAGGTGAGATTATGGGTGGCAATGTCCTTGGCAGGAACCCTCTCCGATGGTCTGGTATGGAGTCCAGCGTAGTCGTAGTTCCCCTCCTCATCGAGCTGCCATTGACGACTTTTGGCCAGATCCAAAAGCTCCTTGGAACCAGGACGAAGTCCCAAACGCTGGGCAGCCTGTTTGGGTGCCATCTTGAGGTAGGACTTCTCCATACAGGATGCTATCTCCTCGCGAGCCGTATTCACCAGCATGTCCATGAAATTCGAATAGATCTCCGAGGGCATGGACTTCTTGGCTTGCAGTATCTTGTTGTATCTACCCTCCATGTAGTAGTTCTCCAGGGCCAAAACGGGATTGATGAAGTTATCGTGGAGCAGCAAAGCCGACGGTAAACGCTCAAGTTCGATGTGAAAGTCAGCAATGCGATTGGTGGCCAGCATATAGAGCAGATTCAGACCCATGAACTTGTGCATGTGCTTGGAAGACTCCAAATACTTATCGTAATCGTAGTAGTAAGTATTTAACTGAGACATGTACCTCTCGAAGGCGGCATAGTCCCTTATAGTAATGCTGTGTTCCACGGCAATCTCCAGCATTTCTCGGGATTTCATTAGTTGGTCCTTCTGCTTCGAACTCGACTGGACTTGGATTGTTCCAAAGTTGGAGCGCACCAGCTCCAATTTGAAACCATCTAGAAGATGGGAGCAATGGGCCAAGTTGGGGGCATGCTTGCTCCACTCGTTCTTCAACTCGTTGTACAAATTCGACATGATCACAGCAAAGGCTCAGCGACGACTAAAGTTTCGAGAAGTCATATTTTGTTTGATTAAAATGACAGAACCATTTGGGAAAGAAATTTCATGGCCTGCTTGTACTAAAGATTGCATTCGTAGTGTTCGAAAAGGTATAGGGTTGTCCCACGTTATTCTGTATTCGATTGGAATGTTTGAAATTCAAAAATTCGATAAAATATCATAAAAACAAGAGTATTCATTTTGATTAAAATTTATTTACTTAAAAACATACTTATATCTAACAACAGATCTATGTTTACTGTACAATTTGTTAATTATTTTCTTAAGTGTTTCTACGCTTCCACTTTGAGTTCATGGACCTTGACTTGGGTCGGAGATACTGGAGAACCCTGGGGACTTCCATTGGAGTTGGTAGACAGATTGAATGTGGGACTTTCGGAGCCGCCCTTCTTCTGCTTGACACGACGATTCTGGAACCAGATCTTAACCTGCTTCTCGGAGAGACGCAATCTATTGGCGATTTCGATGCGACGAAGGCGGGATAGATAGGCATTATGCGAGAATTCCCGCTCGAGTTCCAGCAATTGAGTGCTGGTGAAGGCAGTGCGAATCCTTTTGCTGGAGTCGGCATAATCATTGATCAGTGGAGTGATTTCCGCAGGAACTCCCGAGGAGGGGACCTTTAAAGGTGAGCTGTTGGGCGAGCAGGAGGACTCGTGCTTGAATCGCTTTCCCTGCGGCTCATCGAAGTTGTTGGTGAAATCCAGCGAGGCTGATGAAGAAGCGGATGGCGAAGTGCAGAAGCTACCAGGTTCGGGTAGTGGTAATCCACCCACAACTGGGGATCCATAGAGATTATGCAAAGGCAACTGCTGGGAGTTGGGATTGGCTGAGAGCGGTGGCGAAGGATAGCATCCTTCGTAGTTTGCGAAACCGCTGGATTTCCTCTTGGTGGCGAAGAGCTGGGCATATGGATGGTATAGGGAACCAGGACTGGAGCTGACATGTGGATGTTGCTGCAGTGCAGCTGCTGCTGCTGCGGCTGCTGCTGCAGCTGCCTGTTGTTGCTGCTGCTGCTGCTGCTGTTGCTGAATTCCCAGGGAGAAAAGATAGCTGCCCACATAGCTGGCTGGATAGGGCAACATGGGTATCGATGGCAACATGGCAGCTGCGGCCACTGCTGCCGCGGAGGAGGCACTTCCTCCTGGCGATCCCAGTTTCTCCTTCTTCTGGCTCAAGTTGGGCCTATCGCTGAGCAGGGAATCCATAAGAAAGGAACGTGACATTTTCGGTTTTTAGGTTTTCGACTTCGAGATGAGTTGACTGAACACGATCGCTGGCTGTGCGAGACTGTCTGGCTGCTGGGCCCTCACCCGGGTCTTATATAGCTCGAGACCCTGTTCCGGGGGTTGGTATTGCACTTACCCACCCCTGAGGGCCAATTCGAGGGTTGTTCGGCCATTTAGTCACCATTTAGCGGCAACTGTTGCCATTTACGCTCCGCCCTTGTTCGATCACTCACAATGGCACAAATGGCAGGTAAGCGATGAGGCTTCACTGTATCTGTGTGAAAGGACAATGGCGTACCCTCTGGCACGCTGCCTGTATGAGTGTTTTGTATCTGTGTCTGTGTCCTGGCGGAACGAATCCTCCTTTCCATTTCGTATTATCACTCGAGTTTAATTGAAAGTTGAAGAGAGTGCGTAAGAGCTTTTTAAACGAAACCGAATTAGTTCAGCCTAAGCTAGATCAAATTAGTCAGTGCCCTTTGGTATAATTTTAAATTAAAATTGAAAATACAATTAATTTAATCAGTTTAAAAACTGATCACAATAAAGCTGACTAGCCATAATAGTTTTGTTAGTTTGTTAAGTTATTATAACTCTCTAGAAATTGAAACAAAGACCAAAAAATGTTAGAAAAGTTTTATAGCTAATTTCTTATAATATGGAAGAGATCTAAGAAGTTGGTTGTACGTAATATATATTTTTAAAAATATTTTCAAAGTTACTTTCATTAAAACATTTAACAACCTAATTCTCGTATTAAATTTGTCAACATTATTATTAATCACAGAATATCCAACAGATTCACAGAATCTACTTAAACAAAAATTATAAGTTTAAACCATTTCTTACTTTTTGGTTCCTAAACTCATTTTGAATAGCAACTTAAGAATGTTTTAATTTTAATCCAAATATATATATGTATTTTGTATTTTTCAATGGATTTTATATTTTTACCATATCTTTTACTTTGTACGATTTGATTATTGGAATTGGATTTGGCTATAGGATTACTGTTTTCATGCATTTTAAAATGACTTATTAATTTGTTTAAACATATTTAAAGATATATTTTTATAGATACACAACTGCATTTAAAATATCATAATTATCAGAGATATTGTAATCCCATGATTAATTTTAAAGTTTACAGCAATGATCTTTATACGTGTAGTGCATACAAGGAATCATCTTCTAAAGACGCAACGTCATTTATGGCATTTCTTGCTGTTAATTTATTGCATAGAGAGAAAACCTCTTCAGTGACCCTCCACAATCGAATCGATTAATTTTACAACCATTGAAAAATTCAAGCCCTCCAGCCGTTTAATGCCAATTTCATGGCAACTTATGGCCCAAGTGGTCGCTGCCGAAATCTCGGATCGTACCCCTACTTCTACAACTCCCGATTGCCACATGGACCCGCCAGCACATTGAGGAATATCTCTCCTTTGAGTCCTCGCCTTAACGTAATTTTATTGATGCATTCTTCGGCTTGTGCAACTACGAGGAACAATGCGTCGAGGATCATCCATTCAGGACGATCCCATTCATGGATGCAGTCCTTTGGTCCTTTGACAAATCCCAGACACGACGCACGTTGCGCCTTTGTTTGTGTGTGTTGTCTGGGCCAGGTCAGGACATCTAAGCCAGACAGAATGTCGCCGAATGTTGTTTTTGGGCTACATTACATAGAATTATGGCGGCAGTTTTATCATTTGTTAACTGACTTTAAGGATTTACCTATAATTGTCCTTTTCATGGCCTTTGTGACGAGGTGCGGCATTGTCGTCGTAGTCCTGGTGATCGTATGTTAAGTGGCTATAAAACCGATCACAATTGCTGACGTTAATTGTGGATTGTGAACCCGACTTCTTCGTAGGCGATCCGAATGTTCGCCCACTTTTTAAGGTTTTTGGCTTCTGCTTAATTGGCGGGCAGTGCAAAAAAAAAAGAAGGGAATAAATATAAAAGGAGCAGGACCCTTGGTCAATATCGAAATCGGGAGCAGCTGCTGTTGTGTTAATATTTTTGCTAGAATTTCATCTATTTGGGCGGTGCGTTGGTCTCGTGCGAGAGGTCCTTTTGACCGCCTTTTACCAATTGTTTTGGGCCACTTGAGAGTTTCTCCATTGACCACTTCCGTTTTTTGTCTGCGATTATGTTACGCTCGATTGAGTCGGGTTTCCTTTTTTCCAGAATTGGATCGTGCTATTGACTTAGACTTTGTCTTTGGCCTATATAGAAAACAAATGTTACGGATTGGGATTTATGGAAATTTTGAAGATAACAGAAGATAGCATCGGCTTCATTCAAGCGAACAATTTCAATTTAATTGTGAACAAAAGTCGCCTAAACGCTGAACAAATGAAAGCATATCGAAATGCTTACTTCCCCTTACATTTTTGATATGGATACAACGCAAAACTAACTGAGCCGGGTAAAAACTTCAAACCGGATTTGTCCATTAAAGGGGTGTTTAAAAAAAAAATAATAAACCACCACCATCGCGGGTATTCAAAACCCTTATAACTGGGTATTGGGTTAATCATTTATTGACATTAATTGGTTGTGACATTTGCATTTTGACTGATTGTTGTAGTTGCCATTGTTGCTACTTAGCCAAGGGTTTGTTTATCCACTCGCTCGTTTTGTATATTTGTTGATTTAACAATATGAAATAGCTGAAGCAGTTTTATATAGGCTCATGCATGTGCTCTCGGATAAATTATTATTTACCCCTGAATAATTTACGAATGAGCTTTGAGGTTGAGTCTGGCTTCTCTGCGTGTTACTGAGTCAATAGGCCTCAGGAAAAGCCTTAGGATACTCGATATAGGATGGGATTTCCATAGATATTATTTTCGGACTGTGAGAAATGCTGTTCGAAATTAAAAGCGAATAAACAAGTCTTGGAACCAGAAATACGTTACTATTAATTTGTATTTCATTTTTTTTAGAACTTAAACAACTATTTAAATAAAGTATTAAAATGCAAAATGAAGAAAAAATAGCTTCTAATGTTATTATGTATAAATATTAAATTAAAATAATATATTTGACAACTATAGTCCAGATAAAGCATATTTTCGCATTTTTCAACTTTAGAAAACAAATATCAAAGTATCGCACCGCCAAATGTCCAAAAATACCAACCAAAACAAAGGAAACTTTTTCATTCTATTTTCGAGTATTATTTTCATGAATGAAAAGTCAGTGGCTGGACAAAGGACACTACACAAAGGACCCAAACACGATCCGCACTTGCAGTGATCAGCAGTTTAGTTTCTTTTCTTTGTCCCAGAAGAGCGATACTTGTAAAGGAAAAAAATGCAGGTAAGGCGAAATTCCTTTCTGCTCACTCTTAAAAAAGAAAGACAAGGCCCGCCGTTTAGTTGGAGGTTTATAGGTTTCTTTTTTAGCTGTGGTCAAGGCCGTTGGACAATGCTATTAATCAGGTCCTATTTATTGTGGTCAATGTTGTGGCTATTTTGAAGGGCCTGTGTTGGGTGTGTATTGTAAATCCAAACGGCAAAGATCTGGATTGGAGAATGGTGACAGAGCCACCCCAACAAACCGAAAAAGAAACACTTAAACACTTAACGTCTAATCAAATTATATAATAAATAGCAAACAAAACGAAACCAGAAACGCTTAGCACCCTTAAGTCCACCACTTACCCCCGCTGTCAACGAGCAAAGCCAGTTAGTTAATAAAAACAGCATTTGCAATCATAAAACGCTTCACCGATCCTCCCCTTCAGCCAGCACGCGTTGGGTTAGGTCACCATCCGCATCCATGGAAACAAGGTAAGATTCCGAATCGGAACAACCCTCGAGATCCGGCGGATGGTTGAGGGCTGAGGGGTATATCAAATGCATAATGAAACAGATTTTGATACGGCCTTAGAGACATCGCGGTGGTATTCATTCGATTGCAGCCGCTCGCAGGAGCACCAGATACATTTGTATCTTTTGTGGTTGTCTGCGATCCTTCTGATTTCCCACGGAAACAAAATGGCTGCCAGACACAGTTGTCTGGACTGTGATTAATAGACAGTATCTATTAGATACGTAAGAAAGACTACACGAAATTTAACAAAAACTCAAAAACCCAATCATAAGAAGTTGCTGCCTCTGGCAAAGAATATTTAAAATTTAATGTAAAATCAAATTAATTACTAACAGTGAATTATTTTAACATCTGCTACAATAATCAAAAACGTATATCGATAGAAATAAATTTTTTAACATAAATATGAACGTGTTAAGAATATGAGGAATTCTTTCTACCAATCCTAAATCCATAAATTTATATTTTTTAATTTTGTAACGTGGATAACTTGGGTAACAAAAATGTGGAATACGTTCATTTGCATTTACCGTCTTTTTAGTTCAGCTTACACAGTTTGCTTTCAATAATCAAACTATTTTTAAGAACAAATTTACGAAGAAGTTCAACCCAATTCCAACGTAAGAGATTTCGGTATCACCTCTACATTTTACATACAGAAAACCCAGTATTTTACACAAATGTAAAATGTTACTGTGTAGAGTGTTGCAGTTTCTAAGATAATCGCTGTATATTTATAAAAGAGTGGCGCCACTCATACGTTTATGTAGAATGTATGCTACTTCCATTTTGTTTCCCCTGCAAATACTTTCAGCTCATTTAAAAAAAGAAACACCCCCATAAAGTGCATTTAATCCATCTGACCTATGTCATTTACATCGGCCTGTCCTCCCACGCGATTCGCAAGCTTCTTGCTCCATTGCATTTAGGCCTGGTAGTGTCAGCTTTGCGTCTACAACTCCACGGGGTGTCCTTCTGCGTTTTGGCCGCAATGACATTAACGTCAGCCACCTACCTTCATCTGCAGCTTTCGCATTATGCGGGTCTCCTCCCATCGGTCCAGTTCGTCCCACTCCTTTCCCCGCTTGCGCAGAAGGTAGTAGCGGTACATCACGATTGTCACGGCCAGGATCAGAGCCAGTCCGGTGCCGGCTGCGGCTCCCAGGACCGCTGAACTAACCATAACCATCTTGACGGTGAGTTCAATTCACTGAAAAGAAATATTTATAAAAAGGATTTAAGTACAAATATATTAGCTTAGAATTATATTATCAAAGGGACCCAAAAAACACATACATTAAGGAAAATTCTCCCGGAAAATTATGTAGTTTAAGTATTTTAAAAAATGTAATATAATAATTTTAATAGCTTGTTTTCTTCAGAATAATCTAAATTCTGGAATATTTATTAGAGATATATAATTATTTTTTTATAACACCAGACTATATATAACATTTTTTAAAAGTCTTATCCTAATTTGGAGAATAACAAAAGGATTAGGAACCATTCCAACTTTAGCTCCTTTATAACAAACCAACTTAAACAGAAACCACCAATGATGAAATAGAAACTGAACCATTTTTTTTTTGGTTTAAATAACTTTAATGATCATTTATTGTTTAAAATACAGTTATATTTATTGGATCACTATAACCACAAACATCATTCTCAAAGTGCAAAGTAAAAAGTCTTTCGCTTCGGGTACTCCGTTTTCCTCTGCCGGCAGCTATAGTTTTCCGCACTCTCTGCTCTTTCACATGACGCCATAAGTTCGTCGATCTCCCTACTTTCAATACTCTCGTTCTCCAGATCAAAACGATCTTCTCGATTCCGGGACTTTCCAGATGATTCAGCTCTAGTGATAAATGCAAACATCAACGTAAGACCAAAAATTGATAACAGTCCAAAGAAGAGACGCATTTTTAAAGATCAAAAACAAAACTATCTAAATTCGTGGTCTAGAGCACACTGCTTATAGATATAGCTATTGGAAAATAAACTCGTACTCAAGTAGCCCAACTCAAACTCTTTGGAGTTTTGTTATAGACGTTTCAGCTGTGCACACTTTATTGCCGATGGAATTTCCCCATCTAGCAAAATAAACTGACATTGTGCTTAGGAACACGTCAATATCATTTATTTTGTGATGAAATCCGAGGGTACACTAAAAATCTAAGTTCATGCGATGCACATAACTATTTCTGAGGATGGCAAACCTTGGATAGGGCTTAAAATCGGGTTCGTGTTCGGGGTATTTGAGGAAATTCCCAGTTGGAGCTTCAGTCGGTTTATCCATAGTTGCAAAATCGGTATCTTCTTTTTCCTCCTCTTTTTCTTCCTCTACAATATAGAACTCTCCATCTTCTCCTTGTATAATAATTGGTTCTTTCGCCTCCTCCCCAGTTGGTTCTTCAGTTTCCTCCCCAGTTGGATCTTCTGCTTCATCTTCAGTTGGTTCTTTGGTTTCCTCCGCCGTTGGATCCTGTCTAGGTGAATTTGGTAAATACAATGTTTCATTGGCTAATTTTTCAAGCAATTGCAAGTTTTTGATCATTTTATCTATTTTCGTTTTATTCATCTCCGTTTCCCTTAGGTTGCCGGTTTCATTTAAAGGCTTTGTAGAGATCAATGCTATACCCAAACAAGCGATCAAACTTAGAACGCACAAGGCACGCATTTCTTCAACGTTCCGAACAATACTGAATGCTGCGGCATTGGAAACAACTGTTTTAAAAGTTTTTTATTATCGAAATTGTCTTTTATTTACATAGAGAAGGTAGAGAAGAATAGAACCGGTTGAAAGGAAGTTTTGAAAAAGTGTTGCTTAAGTTGAAAGATTTAAAATCCTTTGTTTAGGAAAAAAGAAGATTATAGAAGTCTTCTAGAAACAAGTTTATAAAACTGGTAGGATGGTTTCAAAACCAGGATGACGCCTGATCACAACTGGACCGTGACCTCCGAACCTGGGCCAGAAGGGACGAATGTGACTTTTGATCGAAGAACCAGTAGTAGACTCATTCTCAACGGCAGAAGCTTCGGAAGTGGTGCTCTCTTGATCGGTAGATCCCTCGACATTGCTGGTCGAATCCAAAGCAGGAATATCCACCACAGCTAAAGAGTAGGATTCCTCATCCCCAGCAGGACGGGCAGCCACAAAGGCAACAGCCAAGAAGGCCAACAGAGCGAAGACAATAAGGGAACGCATTTTGAACTTGAGTCTTAGAAGTTTCTACGAAAACTACTTTCCAATCACACAAATCATCCCGCTATTTATAGGAAAATTCTCGCTAATTTTGGCCGATTCGTTGATTTAACAAGAAATTTTTATTTACGCTTTTAGTATTTGAACAATTGTCTCAGTGGAAAGTTTTTCAGGAAAGTATTTTTGGGACTTTTTTTTAGACTATTAATAAACTTTATTTGTGGTTCACAGCGATATGTCTTTCCATAGGATTTAACCAGGTCATTCCAATTGAGTGCGTGGTGTATTCAAAATTACAGGACCGATTCCTCCCCATTTTGGCCATCGGAATGGACGAGTAGTTGATTGATTATTAGAGCTACCTTGACCACTATTACTGTTTGCCGATGGAAATGCTGTCACAACCGAAATGGCCAGAAAAGCCACCAGGGCAAAAATTACCGCAACGCGCATCTTAATCCTCTTGAAACTGTGTAGTAACTACATCTGCTATAAAATGATCTTTTTATATACAAAACGAAACATCTTACACTTATTTAGAGAAGTTTTACCTGCCAAGCTGTTCAATCTTTTATTCCGAAATAAACACTGCAGTTTAATCTGTAAACACTTCCGTCAACTGACGATGTAACTGAACGGGCAGTAAAATGATATATATATAGGTACAGATGAAATATATAATGAGCTTGCTTATTCCTAGCCGCTTTTCATAGATAATATTACAAAAACTGACATAAAAGTTGGTTAAGCATTTTTGCACGAATAGTAATTTTACAAATATAAAATAAAATATTAATTTTATTTCAAATACGATTAATTTGCTATTAAAAAAAATCATGAAGAAATATTAAGAAAAACAAAACACTAGACAAGCTTCTCGGCTTTAGTTGGAGTTTCTAAATGTGCAACATACTTTAAGGCGTTTCTTTTAATAGAAAAACAAACATTGTTATCTGTATAATTATTCTCAATAATATTTTTCTTTTGCACTAGGCACCTAATTATGGTTAAGTGTATAAGAACACAGTTTTTTATAATTAAAAAAGTTTGACAAGGTTTTAATCAATAATCATTTTATTTTCAACAAATTCATAACAAATAAGCTTAAGCTTGGTTAAGGAAAAGGGGCCTGGCGAGGATTATAAGTGGACCATGCCTTCCGAACCTGGGCCTAAATGGACGAATCGACTTCTTAGGTGGGGCATTCTCCTCCTGATCGCCCTCGTTGTTATGCTCCGAATCGGTTTTATCGCCAGACTCGTTGTTGCATCCAGACTCGTTGTTGTTTCCAGACTCGTTGTTGTCTCCAGACTCGTTGTTAACTCCGGACTCGTTGTTGTCTCCAGACTCGTTGTTGTCTCCAGACTCGTTGTTATCACCAGACTCGTTTTCGTCTCCAGCCTCCTTGTTAACTCCGGACTCGTTGTTGGCTCCAGACTCGTTGTTATTATCTCCGCTCGATTCGGAATTGGACTCATCTCCATTGCTCTCCTTATTGTCTTCATTATTGGTTACTTCTCCATTGTCAGAGTCCTGACTCTGTCCTTCCGATTCACCAGCCTGGTTTCCCTCAATTTCAGAATCCTGAGCAGAATCCTGACTCTGCCCATCAGATCCAGCAGCATGGTTTTCCTCATTTTCAGAATCCTGACTCTGTCCATTAGATTCACCAGCCTGGTTTTCCAGATTGTCAGAATCTCCACTCTGTCCATCAGATTCAGCAGCCTGGTTTCCCTCCTTTTCAGAATCCTGACTCTGCCCATCAGATCCAGCAGCTTGGTTTTCCTCATTTTCAGAATCCTGACTCTGTCCATTAGATTCACCAGCCTGGTTTTCCAGATTGTCAGAATCTCCACTCTGTCCATCAGATTCAGCAGCCTGGTTTCCCTCCTTTTCAGAATCCTGACTCTGCCCATCAGATCCAGCAGCTTGGTTTTCCTCATTTTCTGAATCCTGACTCTGTCCATTAGATTCACCAGCCTGGTTTTCCAGATTGTCGGAATCTCCACTCTGTCCATCAGATTCAGCAGCCTGGTTTCCCTCCTTTTCAGAATCCTGACTCTGCCCATCAGATCCAGCAGCTTGGTTTCCCTCACTTTCAGAATCCTGACTCTGTCCATTGGATTCACCAGCCTGGTTTTCCAGATTGTCAGTATCTCCACTCTGTCCATCAGATTCACCAGCCTGGTTTACCTCATTTTCGGAATCCTGACTCTGTCCATCAGATTCACCAGCCTGGTTTTCCTCGTTTTCAGAATCCTGACCTTGTCCATTACCAGAATTTCCAGAGTCCTGGCTTTCTTCATTTGCAGATCCTTCTCCAGGTGCATTTGTGTTTTCTTCACTACTGTTGTTGGAAGAATCCTCGCCAGAGTTCTCCTGAATAGAGGACTCCTGCTCCTCCTCAGCAGGACGGGCATTTGTAAGCCCAACAGCCACGAAGGCCAAAAGAGCAACGACGATTAAGAAACGCATTTTTGGTGTTTAGGCTCGAAGAAGTTCCAAACTGTTTATAAATTTCACCTGATCATTCGGCTTATATACCAAAAGTCTGTACAATTTTTGGAGAAACGATGGTTGTTATTTAAATCGTCATATACGCATTTTATATTTGAACAATTGCTTATCGTGTTATTGTTCTATGACGCATTTTTTCCATTATTAACATTCTAAGCATTTGTTATGTTTATTTTCACCATAGTTACCTTGTTATGATTCACCATTCTTCAATAAACAACAACAAATTCTTAAAATATACCTTTTTAAAATTGTAATATATGTTAAAATACATAACTTTATATTATCAGCAACGAAGCCGAAAATATCTTTTCTTAATAATGCAACTTAAATGCGACATAAATTGCTTTACAACTAGGCTGTAAAATATTTCTGTAGAAACATACAAACGCCTTTGAACGGAAAACAAATTTCGAATCGAAATCTATTGGGGATAGACGAGGCAATATTTTTTTGGTAGAGTCGGTTGTTATTATTTAAGTTTTCATTGGAATTTACAAAAATTCTTTTTATGACGTATTTGTTTTGCAATACACTGTATTTTAACCAGCCCTTGTTGTTAAAGGTGTTGTCCAATTTGGGACTTTTTGGTTGACGATGACAAGCACTTCTCCGTTCGGATCCGGATCTGGGCTTGCATTCACGAAGGACATGGCCAAAAGTGCAATCTGGACGAGTACCATCAAATAGTGCATCTCTACGTAGTTGAGTAATACCTTCTGTACACCGTTTTTCTCAAGGCACTAGCTTTTATAGGCAAATCTTATTTGCTTTAAAATTTTCTATTTCGAACTGCGCAATGGCTGCGCTTCACCTATTAAAGCAATATTTACATTATAATAAGCAAATATGTATTAGTTACAACAAAAAGTTTCTAGACGTACTGTACACCAAGAGCGGAAAAGAAAATGTTATGCCGAGCATTGCATTTATCCTGTTAGTCGTAAAATAATAATAATTTCTTACTATACGATATATAAATTGGAATAATTAAATTTCGGGTACTACCAATATTTGTTTTCTTTCTGTTACGAAGTTCAGTAAATATTTATTTACCCGTTAACCGTCATTGTATTTATTTATTATACAATTTTGCAAAAACCCTTTGTTGGATACAATTTATTAAGGGTTTACCAACCCGTAGTTGAAGTGAGACAATCTTCTGGGACTTTTTGGTTAATGATGACGAGCACTTCTCCGTTCGGATCCGGAACTGGGCTTGCATTCACAAAGGCCATGGCCAAAAGTGCAATCAGGACTAGTACCATCAAATAGTGCATCTCTATGAAGTTATGTTATACCTTCAGTAGTAAAAATTTCTCAGGGCAGTAGCTTTTATATGCTAATCTTGTTTGCTTTAAAATTTTCTATTGCGAACTGCGCAATGGCTGCACTTTACCCATCAAACCAATATTTATACTACAATAAGCAAATATTTGATAGATACATCCGGAAATGTTATAAAAATACCCTAAGAGCAAAAAAAAAAATTAGTTACTTCAACATTTAATATTTTTTATTAAACAGTAAATTAGTTAACATTTTAATACATTCAATATTAACTTAATATTTCAAAACTTTTTTTAGTACCCAATAGTTACTACCATGTTCATTGGTTATTTTGGACGAAATTAAGTAAAATCTTAGGTAAAAAAATACTTAAGACCGAGGTAAAATAAATAAATAAAAAAAACTCCAATTATGATCACGGGCATTCCCAAAATTTTATATATTTGCTAAGAAAATATAAAAACATATGCATTTTAGGGTATCGCCGATATAGATGTTTTCTTTGTGTGAACAGTTGCTTGAAAGTCTAACAAGCGGTAAAAACGTGGTAATTAAAACAATAAATGAATAGAATCCGTCAACTCCCAGTGAATCTAATGTTCATCTTCGTTTTTTTGGTGGCTCTGGTCGATTTCTTCATCATCATCATCCTGAGAATCATCCTGGGAATCGGAGTCATCTAGTCCATCCTGTGTATCCTCGTCGTCTTCCTCATCATCCTTTGCATCATCCTCCTCACTCCCCAAAATGTTATCCTTCTCTTCGGCAACGTTGTTCTTCTCTTCCGCAATCCTTTTCTCCTCCTCGGGGTCCTCCAACTCATCGATATCAAGGGGATTGGCGGATACTGTGGCCAAAACCACAAATCCAAAGAGGACAAGCAGCAAAAAGGCACGCATTATATTGTCTAATTTAGTTTTTAACTAAGTTTAAGTCCACTCCTAAAATACGCTTTTATAGCAAATTACTGATTGGCAGAAAAATAAAAGCTGGCATGGGTGACAATTTATATGGCTCATTTTATGTTTACCCGGCGACAGCTGTTGCCTTGGTTTGTGGCTCAAAAAATGAGGCAAAGTTGTGCGTAAACATTTGGCTGGAGGAACTGAGAGACCTTATAAGAGTACAGTGGACCTTGGCTAACTCAAAATTTAAGGCCCAACCTAATTTTAAGGGGTGCAAAATAAAACATTAAAGAAGCCATGACTTTAAAGTCAAAGGGCATTGTTACTTTTAAGACTTATAATTTCAACTTCAAGTTAATCAACCACGAAGAGTCTATTAGCAAAGAATAAAATCATAAAAGCTTATTAAAAACACCTGAAAGATTTATATATTAAAAATATTAGTAATAGGGATGACTTCACTTCAGTTGGAATTTGGAATTTGTTAAGTCATCAGACAAGTCCAAACAAAGTTCAAAAAATAGAGTTCAGTGTCACTCTACAAATATATTTGTAGAGTGCTTTGTTCCGATTCCTTGAATTAACTTAATATTTAAACATGTGTTTGGTCTAATTTTTGGGGTTCACCAAAGAAAACATGTTGTTCCAACAAAAAACTTGATAAAAATATAGCAGCCCATGGACCTTGATGATTGTTAGTATAGTGTAATCATGTCACAATTTATCCATCGACTTGTACCAGTTATCAAAGATATAAAAACAATGGAACGCGAGTTGGAAATCATAGTTTCAATTGCAATCAGTCAGTCTAGTTTCGGTTAATCATGCGCTCCATAGCCTTTGCCGTTGTAATCTTTGCCGGAATCCTGGCCTACAGCAGTGCAGCTCCTCAGCTGAGTTTGTCTTCTTTGCTGCAGGCGCTCCTGGCACAGGCTAGTACTACGAATTCGACGTTTAGCTTTGGGAACGACACGGTGATTGTTGCGGGAGTAGCAAATGCTAATGCCAATGCCAATGAGGCATCTATTAGTCCATCTCCGCAACCAGCCCAAACTATTTACAACGGAGGTTATAACTACGGAGCTTATAATAACGGAGGTTATTACTACGGATATCCCTACTACTACTACTACAATGGATACTATCGCATGGTTCCCAACGCCAAGGGAGAGATCGTCGAGGGATCACAGAGCAGCGAAGAGGAGTCACAAGAGGCCTCCCACGAGATTTCCCATGAGCTAAGTGACGAGGAATCTGGCGAGGATCATGATGCTGAAGCGGATCTCTCAGAGGATCAGCTCGATGACGAAGAACAGGACCGGCTCGATGCCGAGGAATACAGTGAGGAAGAAGATGAATCTGAGGGTCAATCTGAAGAGGCTAATGAGGAGGAGGAAGAGGAGAACGATCCCGAGGAGGATGCAGCAGACCAGGCTTTGGATGCCTTAGAGAAGGAAATAGCCGCTGAAGAAGCCAAGCAAGCACACTCATCTTCATAAAAATATAGCAAAATTCGGCAACTGTTTATAGGCAACAGGTTGTAACTGTAGCCTATAACATTCATTAAATTTCATAACTATGGGATCATCAAAAATAAAAAAAGTTTATACAAAAAAACCATGTAATTTGTACTCATTTAAAGCCTATTTTTAGATGTCAGGTTTAAATGAACGAAGGTAAATCTTTTTAATTATACTTTAATGCTGAGCTAAAATTGGATTTTAGGTTTCTGGGCCAAGCAGACGAGAAAATGGTGCCCAAACAATCTTATTTACATTTTTTATGTTTACTGCCTTGTATTATAAAATGTCTTGAATTTCCAAAGACTTTTCTGTACCCAGAATTTAAATCTTGTTGAGGTAAACATGAAACTTCGACTTAAGTTGCTTATTTGCGTACGGCCACTAGCAAAGCGTAATGATGTTTATTTGAATGCACAATCTTGGGAAAATCTAGGAAAAAGTGAAAGCAGTTCCTGTTGGGTCCTGGCTCCCTCAGATTCCTTTTGAGTTCGCCCAAGGACAAGGACACGGCCCATTGACGACTTGTGCGCAATTGTAAACAGTTGTCGGAGGTGGCTAAAAGGAAAGAAGTGTGGCCAACGAAGCAGTCGACAGGATGGCAAAGGCAGTCAGGTGCTTGACGAACAAAAGCGAATTGCATTATAATGCGGCGCGTGTTTATAATTTTTAATGCCGACAATGGGATTAGTTGGTCGGCGTTGGCGGTTGGACGTTGGCTTAAACGGCATCCACATGCGCTTAACTCGATTGTCGTTGATGGTCGAAAGTGTTTTGGCCATGTTTCGCATTTCGCATTTGCCTATGCCACCAAAGTACCACCCACACCCCACCGCCCACCTACCAGGCTCAATGCCAATCAATGTCACGCACATAGATACGCACCCACACTGCCACACTCACCACAGGCCCATTGCGAAGGGACATTCACGCACGCATTCCCCTGACAGGCGTCCGTAAGGACTTAATCATAATTTGATTCGAGTTTGAGTTCGACTCGGCCTCGTGCCACTGAAGGAAACTGTAGCATACATTTCAGCTCGCTAAAAATAGTCACCCCAAGAATTCGCTCCCCTTGGGGTAGCTTAGGAATTTAAGCCAAACCAGCCATAATTGGCATTCCTTTTCAATTATGTGGCATCGAGTTTGCTTAATTGAAGAATTTTCATTGGCCTAAAAGAGATTAGTGGCACAAATTTAATTTTAAGGTGCCTAAATATGGGCCAATATAGAATTTAGCTTTGGAACATTCAAATTTTCATAGAAAGATATTTTACATTTTACATTAAAGGTATAGAAAAGTGTTTTAAAAAATAAAAAAGTTATTTAAACAATTATTTTTATATAAATAATTTTAAATAAAATCCAAATGGTTTATGTGTTGTTGCTTTAAAAAAATGTAATTGGTACTAAGATGTACTATTAACAATATTTCACTTTTAAATGTTTTCAGACATTCATAATTAAACTTTATAGTTAAATACATACAATGAAAAACCAATGTGTGTGTTTCTATTTAAACCTAGTCTAATGTAATTAATTTGAAGAGCCTTCCTTAATAGGACCTTTAAATAAATTCTGTATCATTCACGTCGAGTGAATGGACTCCCACGATTTGTTTTCAATTGAACTAAGCAAACACAAGTGAATGGAATTCAATGCGATTCCATTAATATTATTAATATTACTCGGATGATATTTAATTAAAATGGCAACCTTTTTAAGCTTAGACCACAATATGAATCGGAGACAAAGGAACACAAGCCACGGGAAGCGTCCATTTCCTTTGCTGACTCAGTGACCCAACCTAGGAGACAATTGCTCCATTTCTCTATGGCTTGGTCAACAGTCCGCGCATCACATGTTCATGTACATTACACTTGACCCCATCACAACCCCTCTAAGCCACCCACAACCCCATTTAGCCCCTTGTGAACCGACGGCATTCTTGCAGCCTGTGCGATTCGGGTTCAAAGCAATTCGCTTTATAGCCGTGATTGCAATCGATTCCTTAGCCCCAGTTAACGTTCGTCCATATCCACTGACCCCGTTAGATTGGCGGCGACCTTGTCCCAACTGTTGCCAATTAAATTAATTCTCTTGCCAGTAATGCAATTTTAGCCAATTACCAAAAATTTAACAAACGAACATTGATTATTTTTGAAGCGCTTGAAAGAACATCACATTTTAGTACCAAAATGGCAGGTAAATATAATTAAACTAGCAAAAGTCATAAAGGTAAATTTGCAGATGAGTTTGTATGCCACAAGTAAAAGCACAAATTCAATAACCCATTATTGAAAGCACTGCAGAAATGTCAGGTACCTAGGTTTATCCCAATCATTATTAGCTTCTGGAAAACCGTAACCAAAAATAAATTCGAAAGTAAAAGAACTCTTCAAACTTTTTTTCCAAGAAATTTGTATGGTGACCTTTGCCAGGTCAAATTATTGCAATCGACGTTCATGGAGCGAAATTGCTATAATTCTTGTTGACACAGTTGACATGTTTTGGTCAATTTGCCACTGCCTGGGCCCCATGCACGGTAATTTGCATACAAAAAATTACGAAACTTTGTCTAGTCCCATGGGGAGTCGGGCACCCTCAGGGGTCGGAATATATTCTACATGGCATGTGTGTGTTTTGGCTTTAAATTATTATTTGTTGATTTTGCGGGTTCACGGTTTATAACTGGATGAAAGTCATGGAATGTCAAAAAGGGAGCGATAGAGACAATATTTGAAGTTTGACGGTGTCAACAGGTAACTTTATACGATGGAAATATCTTAATTCAATAAGCAAGAGTATTAAAAAAAGGTAAAACAAGTTTCTTATTGCTTAAATATTATTTAAAGCTTTAAATACAAATATTTCTTAGCAACTAAATAACCCAAAATAACAAATTACCTTAGATTATATTTTCCCATTACTCTTTCTCAGCTTTCCATTTATCAAACAGACATCCCATAACTACGCTCGTCTCCTGGGCAATCATTTCCTTTGACGTTAAACGATAATTTCTGTTTGCTTATAGACCACATTTCCTGAATCCCACAGGACAATCAGGACTCAACCCGAAAAAAGGAGGACGAAACTGCTCATGTGTAAACAAAATAAAACATCATTGTTTGGTTGATAGTTTGGTGTAAAAATTTTTTGCAATAAAACTGTCCCATTCTCTTAGAAACAAAAAAAACAGCAGAAATTTAAATCAATATTTGAGTGTGGGATATCTTTTGTCTGCTGTAAATTTTTAATATTCGCATTATATATATTCACATTTTTGACATGGCTTTTGTATATTTATAGGTATTTTTCAGCATATTTAAGGACCAGGATATCAAAATACCTTGACGAAAGGTGTCTGACAGCTATAATATTATTCAATTGAGCAGTAGGCTTATTCAACAAGTAAAGCTGGGAAAACATTGACATTGGGTGTTCCGATTGTTATGCCAATAATGGTGATGGCTTAGCTCTCATCAAGTCGGCCGAATGTCAGGATGTCACTTCAGCATGTGCCGGGGAAAAGAAAAAGCGATGTATTTAATAGCAGGATGCGGAAAGAGAGCAATAAACCATTGTGCCCAGTGTTCACATATGCTGTCATGAGCAGGGGATTATTAGGAGCTTGCTCCCATATCTGATGTTTATCCATTACTTTCAGCTTATTAGGCCTGACATTGTGATTCGAATAAAGAAATAACACTAAGCAAACTATGAATTACCAGGAGCATCTTCATTTATATTAGTTTTGTGTTTTATATACTTAACGATTGCGCGATTTTACGATTATAAGTGATAGGTATTCATGGCTTTAATTCTATTCATTCTTCTTTTATAGCTTCTGTATTTAAAATCATAAAATTGATTTAAAGGGCAGCGGTCTTAGTATTACTCAGTTTTATATGAAAACTCTGTATAATAGAATTTTAAAATGTTTGCCTAGCTTAGACGACTTTTCCATTATTTGAGAAAAGAAAGTTCTCAAGAAAATAGCGGTTTCTTCTTTGAACTCAACATTTAAACTTATTTTTTAATATTTGCATAAATGGCAAAGTTTACAAGTTGACAATATTGAGCAGGTCAAGTACTTAAGTTAGGTCCAGAAATAGAAAGAGCATTTGTAGTTCAACTTTTGGCATTTACATGTCTAATTAATGCAATTAAGCGAAACTGCACAATAACGTACTCACTTCATTCAACGCGAACTTTCATGGGCATTAATTCATTTGCATAGCCCAAAGCTCTATGAAAGCGCGTAGGGAAAATTGGGGGCGGGGATTTTAGGGGTGGTTTTCGGAGGGGGGTCCTGGAGAGGGAGTGGTCCGATGGCGCCAGAACCTAAGTCCCGGCCAAAACCCTAAAAATAAACATGGAGCAGAAAGCACGTCACTGCCATCCCAACTCCCACAATTCCAGCGAGCATAGAAAGTCCCTCAATATGCTCCGGTTACATAGGCAAAAACAAAACGAATTTTTGTATACAAACAAGTTGAGAGCAAAAATAACAATAAACCCCTTCGTTTTATGTATTTTCCCATTCAGCCCCGCCGTTTAATGAATCAACAAGTGTGAAAGGGTTTTTTATTTTTGTTGAGATCCATCTCGCGCCCAAATTGTATCGTAAATTTACATAAAAACCCATCAAATTTCGATTGAAAATTGCACCTGAAGTGAGTCGATCCTGGGATCCAGGATCCATACAAACAATACCAGGACCTAGGCGAAAAAAAGCGGTCCTTTGATTTCCACTTCTTCTATCTGCTTCTATCCTCGAATTAACATTTTGATTGGATATTTCAATATTGCGCCATATGGCAGGCTGTTTGCCGGCCGGTTACATCTGGGTTTGGGGCTGGTCAGAACTGGTTGTCCACATGCCAGTGGATTTCGCACCTTTAATGCCCCACTGAGCCCTGTGTTTGCACTCTACTCAATGCCACAAACAGCGTATAGAATACAATCTGTGATAAGATAACCCGGGTACTCGTTCTGGTTCGGGATCTGAAGTGGTCCTAAATTAATATTTAACTACGGAAAAATACCTGAATCAAAGGGAGTTTACAAATATCTAAGGTCTATTACTTTAATTTTTATTTTTTATTTTTTTTAGGAACCAAAATATATCTGCTTTGATTACAAATTCCTTTTCATAACCAAATATATTACTGTTTTTGATAACATTTTCTTCAAAATCTAACAATTTTTCTCATCCCTTTTAAAATGATATAAGGAAAATGTTAGGAACTGTTAAAAAAATGTTATGAAGCCCCAATAAATAAAGCTAACAAGTATTCAAAAATGTAACTAAATTATTTCCAAAAATCATTAAAAAACTTTTTATATAACTACTTTTCAGATCCAACAACTTAAGATTAAAGATCCAAAAGTAACTAAAATAAGAAATCCACAATCCCATAATAATATATTGTAAGTCAAAATAAATTCTATCATTTGCTCAATATGTACATAACTTTATTACTATCCCATCCCACTGGCTCCTTAGATCACCTGGGTGGAGTACACGGGCTCAGCCTGCTCGGGAACAGCCTGCTCCGGAACAGCCTGCTCGGGAACAGCCTGCTCTGGCTCAGCCTGCTCAGGCTCAGCCTGCTCGGAAACAGCGGCGGCAGCTTCAGTGGAGGAGTCGTCACTGGAGCTATTACCAGACTCAGTGATGGCTGTGGTGGTGGTGGTGGAGGAGGAGGAGGACGAAGCCGAGGGGATCAAGGAAGAGGTCACGGCGGGAAGCACGGCGGGAAGCACTGCGGGGAGCACGGCGGGGGCCACGGCGGAGGTCACCACGGGCTTGACAAAACGAGGCCTGGCCAGGTAGGGAGTTCCGTAGTCGTAGTAGCCATTGTAGCCACTGTAGCCATTGTAGCCGTTATAGTTGTTATAGCCGTTGTAGTTGTTGTTCCAGCTGGGATAGCTTGGAGCGTTCCAGGCACCGGGATACCAGCCTGCATTGGAAGATCCGTAATCGGGCCAGTAGCCAGGATAGTAGGGCAAGATGTTGGCACTGGCAACCTGGGGCAGGATGCTCGGGGCTGCAACATCGGCAGCCACATCAACAGCCGGAACAATTGCGGCGGTATTCTTAACCAGCACTGAAGGAACAATTCCGGCATTCTTCACCAGCACGGAGGGCACAATTCCGGCTGTCTTGGCCAGCAAAGCGGGCTGCTCCACCGCCAGATTGGCGGAGCGACCCAATCTTCCCCGAAGGGATAGCTGGCCCGAGGAAACGGCCACCAAACTGACACAAACCAAAGCCACAAACAGACGCATTTCTCTAAATGAACAACCTCTTTCAACTGGCTATTGGTGTCCCAAGCTCTCTGTTTTATAGACCTCCTCTTTTTCGGCTTTAATTTACTTTTCTTTTTAATTGGTCCAAATATTGATTCAACTAAATTTTTGTGTCTGAGAATCCCTGCAAATTATTTAACCATGTTTTGCGTAGTTTCATATTTGCTTAGTTGGGTTCTCGGCGGTCGGGGTATATCAAAACAGATTTGGTTGAATAGTTGTCATTAGCGGTTTGCCAACATCTTTGTGTGTTTGGCGTCCCCATCTGTTCTATTGTCTATACAATTCGGCAATTAAAAAGTCTTGAATGTGAGTTCCGATTCCGGGTTTCAATTTCGACAAGAGTCGAGTAATATATTCTAGCGGATTTCTATATCTCCCGTTTTTGGAGAGACATCTAACGGATATAATTAATATTTGTCTTATCAGCTTACTATTCCGTACTATATGTAATTTACCTCAATCAGAAAATTGTGTTATAGAACTTTCCTTAAATTCTGACCGAAATACATTACAGTTCTTAAATGCTTTAAAATATTCTTTATATATATATACAAGAAACTTAGAAGCCACTAAGTTGTACACACGTCTGTGGGCGACAGTTTGAAAGTTTCTGCAAAACTTTCACATAAACATGAAAATGTGTTAAAAAAAATAAAAGATCAGTTTTTATGTAGATTATTAAAGAATTGAACCACAAGTTCATAGAGATAACCCACGTCGAAATCGGCATCTGATAACTCAAGTTATCGAATTTAGAAGTGCCGTTTTGGGCTCCCAAAAAAAATTCGAACATGAAAAAAGGTTAAATTTCTGACCCTCGTTAAAAAGTTTAATTTAAATGTAGGTTATTAGATAATTCAAAAACAAATCCATAGAGGTATCCCACGTGTAAATCGGACAATAATAACTCAAGTTATGAAATTTAGAAGTTCCGTTTTGGGGTCCTATTCTGAAAGCTATTGGAAGAACGGAAATATCAAACATGAAAATGGGCTAAAATTGTGACCCTCGATAAAAATAATATTTTAAATGCAGATTATTAAATAATTCAAACACAAATCCATAGAGGTATCCCATGTTTGAATCGGACAACAATTACTCAAGTTATGAATTTTGGAAGTTCAGTTTTGGGGTCCCATTCTCAAAACCATTGGAAATACGAAAAAATCGAACATGAAAATGGGTTAAATTTCTGACCCTCGTTAAAAAGAATAATTTAAATGCAGATTATTAGATAATTTAAACACAAATCCATAGAGGTATCTCACGTTTAAATTGGACAACAATAACTCAAGTTATGAAATTTAGAAGTTCAGTTTTGGGGTCCCATTCTCAAAACCATTGGAAATACGAAAAAATCCAATATGAAAATGGGTTAAAATTTTGACCCTTAATAAAAAGAAAGATTTAAATGTAGAATTATAGAAAATTCCAACACCAATTCAAAGAGGTATGCCATTTTGAAATCGGGATCCAAAAGCCCAAGTTATGGAACTTAGAAGTGCAGTTTTGGGTTCCCGCTTTGAAACCCATTGGAATTACGGAAAATTAAACAAAAAAATGGGTTAACAATTTTGCCTCATTTTAAAGAAAAGTGTTAACGTAGAATATTCGAGAACTTAAGTACAAACTCATAAAGAAACTCATAATAAACAAGGAAGAACGCTATAGTCGAGTACCTCGACTATCAGATACCCGTTACTCAGCTATATGGAGATATGCAAGCAGCAAAGCGAGATTAAAATGCGCCACCTACCGGCGGTATACAGATTTAAGCGTTATGGGCGTTAGAGTGGGCGTGGCAAATTTTTTTTTGGATCAATCGATAGGTATCGACGAGACCAATACATTTCAGTTAAAATTTTTTATCTAGCATGAAAATTGTGGGCGTCACAGGTTTTCGCGGTTTGTGGGCGTTAAAGTGGGCGTGGCAAACTTTTTTTTGGGTCAATCGATAGGTATTGATGAGAACAATACATTTCAGTTAAAATTTTTATTCTAGCATCAAAACTGTAGGAGCCACAGTTTTGGGCGGTTTGTGGGCGTTAGAGTGGGCGTGGCACTGTGCTGAAACAAACTTGCGCTGCGCAGGAATCTCAGGAATCTGCGTGCCTAATCCCAGTATTGTAACTCTCATAGTTTCCGAGATCTCAGCGTTCATACGGACAGACGGACAGACGGACAGACGGACAGACGGACAGACGGACAGACGGACAGACGGACAGACGGACATGGCTAGATCGACTCGGCTAGTGATCCTGATCAAGAATATATATACTTTGTGGGGTCGGAAACGCTTCCTTCTGCCTGTTACATACTTTCCGACGAATCTAGTATACCCTTTTACTCTACGAGTAACGGGTATAAAAATCGCAGATCAAGTATACGCAGTGTAGGCCCGCTTTACATTAAATACGGAAATACAAAGGCATAACAAAGCCATAGCATCCCATCAAATCTAAAGATAACTTTACACCAATTTTCTGATCATGCCGTAAAGTTGCAGTGTATTTTATCCTTCGCTTTGCCAGACATCAAGGAAATCACAATATTCCCCATCGCGCATACGCCATGCATGCCCGCCCGTCTTTAAAACGGATTAAGCCCGGCACTCAAGCAGGCGGCATAATTAAAAAACTTAAAGCGAGTGCAGTGCCTTTCGGGGCAGTGGAATTAACAATAATGAACTTGGGTGTTGCTGGCAGGGAAGCGTGAAGGATGAAATTTAAGCCCTGGACATGCCAGTGACAAGCTGTCTCGCCATCGACTGGCTGTCTTCACTCCTGCTCCACTCTCAACCTCTTGGTTTCCCAGCTCCTTCTCGCTTTCATGTCCTTTTCAACGCCTGGTGACAGCGAAGCCATCCAAGCATGCAACCCCACATCCTGGTCACAGGCATCAGCAAAACTTTGTTGCCTCGGTTAAGTTTTGGCCACAAGAGTTGGACACAATAATTAACATCTTATAAATTCGAAAATTGCCACAGCAACTTTAACCAATTTGCAGATATACCTTACCTGTTGATCACACACCCTAATTATGAGCCAATGCTTGACGTCATTAGATAGACAAAAAGAAAAAAAACCATAACAACATTTAGGTCTACAATTCTATGTAACGCCTACTAACCGAGGCAGAAAAAAAAAGCTGCAGAGGCGTAACGAATATGGAGCAGGATTGTACATTGAATACCCGTATATTATCCCTAGATAAGGAACAACTATCTTATCAACAAATAACAGATACATATGTGCGATAGGGAAGCGAAACGAAAAGCAAACTTTCACTCTCAGGAAATGCAAAAAAATATGTGTAACAACAGAGGACCCAAATCAAAGGTCTCTTAAACTACTTTGGCCTTTGACCTGGCCAGCTTTTGTGGTGCTTTCCACCCACCAGGCAAACAATCACAGATTTAATAAGCCAAATCCCAGACCATTGACAAAAAAATGGAACGAGAAAATAACAACTTGAATGGTAAATATTCAACAGGCAAAGGGCCTTTTGCGAGCCATAAAAAAATGCTGGCTTTGGTCGCTTTAGTCTTTAAATGGCTGGGATTAGGGGCTCGAATTCGCTTTAACTGCGAATTTCAAGGCTTTTGGCTGATGCGATTACTTATCAAATTGGATTTCTTCATCGACGTCCCCATCCCACCATGTTCACTTCTTCTGAGTTGTTTGGCGATGGCTTAAAGTGACAGAGCCATCTTAAACTTGAAACACTTTCAGTTGGAAAATTGGGAAAATAACATTGGGAGAAGAATAGAAGAACATTTATTTGAACTTTTAATTGGTTTGAGCATGAACATTTTATTTGTCTGGAATTTAAGACTTTGCTTAAATGGCAGGTGACAAAATATAAATATTCCCGAATTGTTTGAATTTTAAACCATACTTTATAATAAAATATACTTGTCGGATAAATATTTCCTCAATTTTTCAATGCTTGCTTTTGACTTTTAATTTTGTACACACTTCCATACAGAAAATGAAATAATTTAATGTAATTATACATTTTGAATGCCTAAAATATCATAGGAATGCTGTAAATGCTTCATTTTTGTATCTACCTTTAAAATAAAATAAATTAAATGTTCCTTACCTTTTTACTCTGTTTTCTTGGTACTTTTGCAGCTCTTTTTTCACAACAATTAATTGTTTTCAAAATGATTTTTATTGTTTGTTTTGCCCAAAATCTGGATAATTAATCATCTCCTTTGGCACAGATCATTAATATTCAAAAGAAAAAGCCCTTGGCATATGCAAATCGAGAAAAAACGCAGCACCGAAACCGCAATAATCGTATTCACTGAGTTTATTTTCCAAATATTTGTTATATTTATGCGAAAGCAATCTATTCAAGCGGCAGGCGAATGAATCTCATTTTGACCTGGCACGCACCGCGTCGAGGGAAAACCAAAAACAAGACCCGAATCCAAATCGAAACCGTTCGCAACCGCGGTGACCAAAGTGACAGGACCAGAGAGGCAGGATGCTAGAGAAAGGACCGCTTGCCACAACGACAGGATAGCCAATGCTAGACGATGCGCCATTCAACGCTACCATATGTTAGCGATTTCTGCCTGTCAAACGCCGATTCCACGGTTGTTGCAGGAAAAGCTCTGCTTTTCCGGCCGTAAGCCCTCGGCCATCTTCGGCTCCGGCCGAGTGGAAAGCTCCGCGACTCCTTATCAGTGGGCGGCCTGCTGCTGCGGCTGATAACGAGCTGGCCAGCAATTATCAAGGGTATCGTAAAGGATATCTTAACTTTCTTAGCGAGCTGAAGAGCTTTCGGATAAACAAAATAAAGGGAATAACATTAAAAATAAATTCTGTTTAATAAGAATAAAATATGGGGGTTCCTATTCCTATAAACATGGGTTCCACATAAAATATAAAAGTATTCAAATCAGTTTGTGTTTACTGTACATAAGAGTTGTAAAAAAATATGGCTTATCCCATTTTTAAATATGAAAATTGGA